AGAATACGACCAGTAAGAATATGTTAAGGGTGATTACATAAGTGTTAGACGTTTTGTTTAACCAAAGAACTATTAACGATAATTGACTCAGTATTCTAAAGGAATAATACGGTTCAGGTATCTAAAAATTATTCTCATATGTCTTGGCATTCAGCGACCATAAATTCACTTTATTAGTATTTATACTTCTCAGTGAATGAATAAGAAAAACAAATACCAATATAATGAATACCATTTATCCAATGATTCCATTTTTTCAAACCACTAAGCTTCAGCTTAGCCTGGAAGTCTATAAAATGACCTTAAATATCCAATTATTTCTAGGTACTGGTCGAAACTAGAAAAGAATTCTTCATCATCTAGATCAGAATTACTACGTGAGCATTTCTTTGAACTAAACCTGTTTCTCTTTGGGTGTTTGACCAAATCGCTTCGTCTGATTCACTAAGTTTGAAAACGTTATAGCAAGCAGCCTTAGAAGGAATAATAAATATATAAAATAATATCAAGGCTTCAGTAAATACTGTGGTTTCAAAACACTCTTTTCAGATGCAGCGCTTAAATTAAGCTCATTTTCAATTTTTATGTACATTGAATTTTGTTTATTTGGGTTTCCATTCCTTAATTTCAACTTGTCAATCAGGCATTCGTAAATATGTGGTGATGGTAGTGCCTGAACAAATCTTTGGTATTTCCACAACATCAAATTTTTGATAACACTTAATAATTTAATTCCTTTTGCATGAATGCATCATTAAAGTGTAGCTCATAGCCACTGCAGCTTGAGTATCACTAATTTTGAAGCGATTTAAAACACTGATTCCCCAGACTTCTTTAAGTTTTGAACTCATTAGTCAGTAAAAGCCTTTGGTATAGTGTTATATCTGAAATCGTTTTTACTCATGGTATAAAATATGCCCAGTAACGTGGTAAATACTCTGAATCAAGGTGCAAGTTTGTTTTCAAAGATATCAATAATCAATACATACACGGTGTATTGACTAAGAGAACACTGGTGATACGAAATGGATTGTGCTGTAGAATTAAGTAGAAAGGTTTTAATATTTTATCAGAACACTTGAAATAATTCCTTACCTAAAATGAATCTGTTAGTCTTAGCAGTGTTAGAATGAATATTTATAGAAGTAGATAAAATCGGGCATTTAAAGGTCTTTAAAAAAATTTTGCCATGGAATATGAAAAACAAATTCACCATGATGTTTCTCTGCATAGATGACCAAAGTGAATCTGGTGCTGAGTAACTCAAGTCCTCTGCTAATACCTAGTGTATTTCCGATGAGATTCTTCACGGTATGCAAAACGTAGTATTGTTGGCTAGGTATCAGCCTCATTTCACTACATCAGCATAAAGTTGTGAAGATATTTCAATTATTTGGTTAACAATTCTCCACTTATCTATCACTTTATGACATTGGTATTGGCTGGGACCAGATGATAGTTAAAGGGCTTCAGTGAAAACAATCTACCATAACTTTTATATGTACCAGCTATTGAAATGCTTATTTTATACGGAAGTTCCAATTAACCACTCAATTATAAGTAAACAGAGCTCAGTCAAACCACATTTGTGATTGAAGAGCTTTTTAAGTATGGGCGAATAATCTAGAGTTAGACAGTGTGTCCTGAACATTGAAGGAAGGATAAGTATACACTGCTTAATATACATGATCCACTAAACTAACACTTCAGATTTTAGTTAAGGTTAGTGCATATTCATTTCTTTTTGGTTTAACGTAGACCCTCTAGTACATAAGTAGTTTTTAAACTGGAGAACTTGATTTTTAGACAATCAGTTTATTGACATGGATAAATCTTGAAGGGTCTCATGGATATTGTTGTGCAAAATAACTGTTCATTTTCTGATCTCATTAATCACCACCCTAAAGGAATGAATTAATGTGACTGAAAAGGAAGGTAGTAATTTGCAACCACTAAGGGTATATAAAATACAATAATTGGGATTGTGCAGTCATTTTAAGTTAAATTCTATTTTTTAATTTGAAAAATCACTTCTCTTTGATGAAAATCCGTTTTGCAGCCATATGTGGGTATTTTGTCCAATATCTTCATTAGTGATGCACTAAATTACACAAAGTAACATAAGATACTTTAAAAGATGTCGGAAATATGTTAATATTCTCCATTCGAATTCCATAGAGCTGGGGTATAAGCGATAAACATATAAAATAAAGAGAGAGTGAAAAGGCTTATTTCATAAATGGTGTTAGTGTGTATGCACTATACTATTTATCCAGAAGAGAAAAAACATCCTTGTTGTTCGTGATATATTAACAGACTCAAAAATAAAACTTTATTCTTATCACCTATATTTTTGGAATACAACTAATTATTTCAGGGTCACATGTAACTTTAGGTATTCTTGCAAATGTCATTCATTCGTTTAACATGATTGACAATGAAATGAGTTAACATTTGTTTATGTACACCATCGATAATGATGACAACATTTCATATGGCACTCTGTTTTTACGAATGATTTGTGATCTCAAAATTTTTTTCGAATATATACCTTTCTAGGGTTATTACATGGAAGTATTTATTGTATGAAAGGCAAATAAGGCTAGGCTGAAGTACAAACGTTTATGCATAACAAGAGTGATAATACTTTGATTTGTATGTTCATATGTTTTACAACTGATAAATTGATGTTTCATACAGTGTTGATGTTTTATAACTGATACCTTACAGATTTCAATGAGTGAGTGAATCAGCGAAGTCATAGGTGAAGTCTATTGCTTAAGTGAGACTACCAATACTGATAACAATTTGTCACTGATATCTTTTTCTTTCACGTATTTATGAATATGTCTCACTTTATTATAGTCCCATTTTACGGGTGCCTGATAAACTTCATTGCACCAATATATATATATATATATATATATATATATATATATATATATATATATATATATATATTAGCGCAACTCTACCTGCACAACACAACCAAATACTGTCACAAAGAATGACATAGTTAAGCAAAAGAGTGATTCGTCAAACTAACCCGATGAGAAGCAATGAAGTTTACCAGGCACCTGTAAAATGGGACTATAATAGATTGTAGCAGAAAGATAAAAATTTCTTCTACTCCATTTAAGTGAAATAAGTGGTTACATACAGATAAACCACGGTTTTGAATCAAGGGAGTTTTTTATTCTGTGTATCCATCAAACTCCAATTATACACATGCATAAACACTCTGTTATGAATTAAAACTTTATTTTGATTGGAATGATGGGGAATACTTTGGCGATTTTACCTAGACAGAGTTTGGGTTATACTGACTAACTGAGTTCCCATCACAGATATGCAACTATAGACAGCGTAATTGATGGAGATATGCTTGAAGTGATTTGTGAATTATTGAGATCTCTCACTTTTCATATAATTTTTAAATCTTTGGTAAAAAGTCACGCATTCATTCAGCTGATTTGTATGGAACCAAGTTACACTTATTTATTATCACAAGCTGACCTAAACTGGCGAGTATTACATAAAGCTCCCTCCATACCTGAAAATAATTGAAACTGGAAAATGCAGACCGTTAGATTCGGACTCATTTACTTTTTGCTATTGTGGTTGCTGTAGAAGCTTAAGTTTCTGAACCAAATTTTTGTATTCAGACGTGGTGCTGAAAAGATTAGAATGGGAGAGAAATATCCGTCTAGTGTTCTTTCATTTTTGTTGTTGATAAACTGATACACTTTATGATAGAAAAAAAGTGACCCGGTCAATGGGTTAATTATTACTTCTTTCCTATCAACGCCGAAATAAGCCAACGCGATCAACTCAACATCTTTTATGTATTCACCAGCATGGGTTGTATGGTTTACTTTTCGTCAGTGTCGTATTTTTTCCAAATGATATCACATGGTGATTCAGGGTGACACTATAAAGACCAATAGTGAACTCACTTAACCTGTGCTTACAGGGACGTGGTAGTAGTGAAAGCCAAGAATATGATATCTGTATTATACCTTAATTTGGCATGAGAACTGTTATGTGGTTGGTTTTCTTAATATTAACGCTAAGAATGAAGTCAACACTACGGTCTGCGAAAAAGTGATATAATGAACAGAATTTTCAAACTCGAAAGGTAGGACGGAAAGCTTTTGAATTTTTTATATATATTTGGAATGAAGTGTGTACTCATTGCCAAGTTTATTGACTAGTCAATATAAGAACTATAAGACTTATATATTTTCATTTTAACACTTATTTTACAGGTGAAATTTCATACTGACACAGCCCTAAGATAAAAGTGCCCAAATTAGTAGCTACATTCAGGTTTTCGTTCTAAGTTATAGACTTCACCTATTTTTTCATATCGTGGTCAGTGAAGTAGCATTAAAAGCCATTACCAGCTTATCAAAAAAGTACTACACCCGTGGATTCAGATGTCCAGTTCATAAACTCAGCTTTCTTCAGTGTGATATGCGTCATGAAGCCTAAACTGTTTTGAGAATATTGTGACTGTAATGGCTTCATTTACATGTCCTTCTTGGAAGCTCAGATATTGCTTAAATTACAAAGCTTGCTGTTCCAGGCTGTTTAGCAGAAGTAATGTACGCTTATTTTAGACTATCTATCAATCCTTAGGCGAAAGTCCTGTCATCATGAAAATAGTGTTTGCCAACCGGTATTATGTCTTTGCTTTGAACGATCTGTAACTGGTTGGACACTACCGTGCTGCAGTATTAAAATTCGATAGTATATTAGAAACTGATGATATAATTAATCAAAAAAATAAGCATTATGACTGTTAGTGTTACCTTAGGGAAAATATTTTTATGAAACATCACCAGCTTTTTCTACTTTTTTTCAGCATGGTATATACACATATATGAGAAACGTTTGCATACATGTGAACGAAAAAAAGGTATATAAACAGTTAATATTATACGAGTTCAAGTATTCAACTGGGATATGTTTTTACATTTTGATTTGTTTATTTCCAGTTAACGGTATACATTCTTCTCAGTACGTTCTCATGGCTGTTTTACGTAGTTGAAACGAGAAGGTTAGTGTGAACGCATACATTTTATTTGTTTTTATATGTATATTTTATGTAGATAAATGTTGCATACATTTTTTAATCCTATGTGTTTGATGTCTGAATGTTTTAAAATCTTTTTGCTGAGGAAAACAGGTGATGATACATACCGAGAGACAATGTAAGTCATAAATGGAATCGAACCAGTGCAATCTAGGTAACTGGTCAGGGAATTAGCAAAGTCAGTGAAAAAATGTACTGTTTTGGAGATTTTGTTTGATTAGTAGGCGTTGTATTAGATTAGTAGGGTTTAAGCTTTATTTATCCTTCTCATTTAAATCTCGATTAATTAAACCAATATCAAGTCAAATCATCTGTTTTCTAAGTGTTGAAATCTTTCACTTGCTTGCTTGTTTTGTTTGTATTTGGTTTCTGTGTAATGAGGCACATAAAAGCCAGGTTTTTGTGTGATTTGTCTTCTGCATTTTACCGAATGATACCTCTAAAACGAATAGTTTAAAAGATAATTATTCAGGTGATCAAACACAATGATTCTTGTTGTGTCGTTTAATAAATAGGAAGAATTCCAAAACTAATTGACAAATTGGAGGACAGGCTATGGTTTTAGTAAAATGGTACATGGTATTAGCATAAGAATAAACTTTGATAACGATGAGGTGAAACATTTTACGTACACGTTTGTCAGTTGATTGAGCTATAGAATGATCTACAATGTAGTGGTTTTAAGGTTGGAGCTAATCGGTGTCCGTCCTGAGTGTTTGTAAAAGAGTATCTAAGTTGGTAAGACTTTTATTCCCTTATCTTATGTTGAAAAAATCTAATGAAATGTTTCCTAAACATATTTACAACAAGATAAAAGTTTGAAGACATATCTGCTGCAAACGTAAAGCTATTTCACGAACAATCAGTTTGCAGTGCGCTCGCTTATGATTTAACAATAAGGGCTTATTATCAACAAATTTTAAAGAAAAGACATTTCAATGATGCTAATTACAATGTCAAATCATGACTGCGTGTTTCATTTTGAAGCCTTTTTTAATTGTATCTTTGTTAATCATTTTTAGAAACCTCTTCTGGTCATATTTATCATTTTAAACATAGTAGTTCATTATTGCATTGTTAGTTCTTTTTGCTCACAGAGACTGTTGACTTTACTGAAGCGAAAAGCAGACGAGAGAAAAATGTGAACTATGATAGCAGAAAGCTGAGGTCAAAAATCTCAATGATTTTCATACGCACTTCTGGGTACCTTGAGTTACTTTAATAGTGTGGCAAGACGTATTATACTTTGGACGTATGTTTCATCTTTTCCTTGACTTCAGTAAGGCTAGCCTATTATAGTGGTTTATTTTTGTTGTGAGAGGTCAAATGAAGTGGCAGTGTGCCCTCAGGAAGTTGATCACTTCCAGTCACTTACGAGAACTAAGTTATCACTCAGTTGAATAGTTCGTGGCGATTTGGTCGCTCTGAAGATAGATTTTATTACAGACTACTGTTAGCTATACAGTCACTGGAAACTAAGGGCAGGCCAAATTGCCAGTTACTGGCTTCAAGATGGATTTCATGAAGTTGTTAAAAGCACCTTAACCTGATAAGTATGAATACGCTTCGCCAAAGACAGATATTTACCAGGACCATCAGCCATAATCCGTGATTTCATGAAATTACAATTGTTAACCATGAGAAGTGAATATCTTAGGTTCACTATCACATAAAGTTGGATATATGCACTACGAAATAGTTTCAGGAGGGATGAAGTGGCTGCACGTCAATGTTATTTTTCAGAAATTATTTTAATGAAAATTATTTTAAAGTCAATACGTCCGTGATAAAATACTTGTCTGAGCAACAAAATGATTAAAATAATATGAGCGGATTACCAAATGACAATGCACAAGCTGAACCATAGTGAGTTTATATTTCTTAAAATGGAACTCACCAAAACTAGTTGAGGAGAATGTATTGAGTTTCAGAGTTCGGTAGTTTGTCTTTCTCGTCAAAATATACATTCACTTCAGCACAATACTCTTTACCAAACCAGTATCATAGAGTATAAATTAGTCGTCAAAGTTTATTAAAGGAAAAGGAGTTTTCTAACATAAACGAGAATGTATTTACCTTTTCGATGAAAGTATAAACAGGTATCAATATGAAAACAGAATGTGGGTACTTTAGTGTAGTCTGGTCCCACGATAGTTCCTCTATCATATATACCACATAGTGATACAGCATTACTTACTAATGACGTTCCCAGCAGAGTTTGTCGCTCATTCCCCGAACTCTCTTTCTAGCCTCAACACGAAGTTGAAAGAACCTGTTGAAACAAGCAACCCATTATTATTGTTATTATTTGTCCCTTGGGTTCCTAATGGAACATACGGCTTCACTAGTACGTCTCCATTCCACTCTGTTCTCTGCAATCTTTGAACCTAGCTCCAAGACAGCCCAGAAACTCTCATTTCTTCCTAGCACGATCTCCTCCATGCCACCCTCGCCTCGAACGCCAAACGCGTCGCTTCCCATCTAGGTTCCACTCGTTATTTGATACAATGTTATCAGGTCTCTCCTACCTGCAGCCTGTTCTGCTTCACGTATTAGGGTAAACATATTGGTAAAATGACTGAAGTCATTGGAAAATAAACTGATCTTCGGTTGTTACTTTTTTATCTATGATTGTTATAAACTTTTCAATGTGAAATTAAATTAAATTTCAAATTTAGCAATCCTCCAGTGAGTATTCGTGGTATCTGTCATACAATACGTTCCAAAATTCTCAGTTGGATCAATTTTGGCATAAACTTATTCTGTCTGGGTTATTACATTTTAAAGGTAAACTATAATTTGATATTTTTAAAATTAAACTTTTCAGTAGTTTATAACTACCTTTCTCTTGATTTGGCAATGTTCGTTATGCACTAATTGGTGTCGGATGCTATTTGTTATAATATCACGAGCTATTACAGTGACACTCTGCAGAAGCAGTGTAAATTAATGTGTTTTTTAATCTTAGGATGAAGAGACTCGATAAAATTCCTGGAACTCAGAGAGAAGATAGAATTCTATTTTGCCTGTTTTTGCAGAATGAATAGTTATCTAATATTCCTAGACAAAGGTTTTGAAATCAATGTCACTGACGACTATACCTTACCTTATTGAGTGGTATAAGTGCCCACCACTTAGGAGTCCCATACTAGAATAGAATAGCCGTCAAATGCTCCCAGGTTTCCAGTGGTTCTCTAATTGATGCTAGTCCACGATGAAGTTTGTCTTGATTCTGCTTATATTAACCAGAAACGTTTATCTTCATCTTTTAGACGTTTAGAAAGAGTAACCCAGTAGGGTGCTAGTAAGTCTTCTGTCTTCTTTCTTCGGCTTATCCTGATGCTTTGCTGTGAATTCTTGAACAGAAGTAAAAGGTGTCATCAACGGCTTCGAAATACCACATAGTGTTGCTCACAGTTTTCTTCGTATATTTGCTCTAAAAAACCACTCCATTTTGTTTTTTCATACTCTGAAAACCATTTCCAAATGTTCGCGTGCACTAAATTTTAGAGAAGATTCAAGGTGATTTCCGACTAATCTTAAGGCTGTGAACTAATTTGTATTACGCTTCATTTATCAGCTACACTTTTCTGATTTCATGTTACATTTCAATACTGTTAATAAATTTCCTTAGAGTATTTCGGTGAGACTGCTAGATGAAAGAACCTCAGAATGAGCACAGAGCTTCAGGGAGAAAAAGATATTCAAAAATAAAGCTGCAAGCCATCTATAGCTGAGATTTTTTTGAAGTATTTTCTGTGCATAATCAGTAGTTACTTCGATATTAGTTTATCGAAAATATGAAATGTCGTGTATGATTAAGCCAGGATATGATTGTGGAGCTTTGAATTTCTAACAGTTAATTTCAGCCGTAAACTGCTTGGATAGAGACATTTGTTTATTAATAATATTTAACTATTTAGAGAGTGTTGCTAAAATTTCTGACAACTATATGGTACTTTCGAGTATAAATTGACTTGTCAACATACGCCACTACTGCCATACATAGCTTACAGAACCCAGTATTGTATGAATTAGTTTCAGTCTTTTGAAAATGAATATTTTTTAATTTAATTTCTTATCAAATAGTATAGTAGCCGGTACCTTTTTGCTATCCTTTCTTCAATCTCACCAGCATTATCTGATCTAAAGTAAAGGAAGGAGAAATGACCTGACAAGGTGCTGCAGTTACATCTAAACATGTTGCCAATATTAATTTATGAGGATTTCTTGTGTCAATTTTTATGATGACCAGTGCTAATAACTCTTTGAATCCCGGCTTTAGGTATCAGCAGTTACACGAACGCTAACGTAGATGCATTCATCTGAAGAATTTCAAAAAGATTTCTAACGGCAACCCAAAATCTGATGTTAGCTACTAATAAATAATATCATGATCAAAGTGATATGAATTTAAACACGGTACTACATTTTTAACAGTTTAGATACCTTCATTGCATTTGAAAGCTTAGTAAGACACATCTGAGTCACAGAGAGAATTCTAAGAACATCTACTGCGATAATAAATGCCATTTACACGAAACAATTACGAAATACTGTTGAAATATTTTGTTTTACAATACATGATTAGTGTATTTTGAGTTTTCCTCATCCTTTCTTCTTTATAAAATATAAAATACAGCTCTGTGCAGCAACTGATCGCATTCGTTTGTCCTTAGTTTTTCTTCGCTAATTGATGTAGTTGCAATTCCACCAGCTTTATGTAGTGTTTTTGAAACACATCGTCATATCGGTGAGTTCCTAAGTTTTTAATAGTTATAACTTTGACTTATTACTTATAATTGCAACCCTAACTATTATGATAATTCGTGCATAAAACTACCCTTGATAAATGTATCATCTAGTAATTTTGTTGTTCTAGATAGTGATAACTTCGGAGTAAACCTTTTTGAATGTTTTCAGTAAACTTTGTATAAGAAAATCAATTCAATACAAAAATGATGACAAGGACTTGTATGAGGTTATTAAAATGCGTGTGCAATATTAGGAACATTCTTAAGTATTCACCGACAAACAATCAATATTAAGGATTGAATATTTAAAAATGCGATGCTGTCTACAGTTCCACATAGCAGGACACTAAACAGTTGAGACTTAATTTATAAATCAGTATGTCATCTTTAGTCTTTAAACAATTAGACATTTGTGTACAATATCTAACTCACTTCGTAACACCATATATGAAAGTAACCATTGATTCTGAAACATGAGATTCGTTTAAAAGATCATTTTTGATTGTACATTAGTGGAAAAGTTGATAAAAGAGATTTAGGGAATGAGCTAGTCAAAAGTTTATGTGAGAAATATAATAAAATATTCAATTTTTAGATGATGAATATCACTAGCAGATTTTTTATCACAAATATTTATTGTCTCAGAGTTCAGTCTATAGCAAATAATAGCAGACAAGTTGCTATTGTGAACAGTCTAGTTTGATTTGGTTTCTTTGGCATTCCATTCACGCTAATTGTAACTAAAACTGTTGTAAAGCATAAAAACAGGTCACAAATGGTACAAAATGGGCAAGTGATTGACCCATCCCAGTATTAACAAGTTTTAAGTTTCGTACGTTAATAAGTACTCAACTAAAAATCGACTTGATTTTGATGCTGTTGACTGACTGGCTAAACTAGACGCAAATATTATCGAGCGTCGACTGGCAGTGATAAACATGTATAACGTTTGAGCTTTATTTTGTGCTCGTACTATTTCATGTAATGAAAGCTAATGACTGCCGTGTCTAGTTAGAAGAATATGCTTCAGTGCCATATGTATTCATCAGTAGTAACCTTTCTTGATGAGAAAATTAAAATGCCCTTGTTTATATATCTTCCGTAGATAAAGGAAAAACATATAGCTATCGTTTCATTCAACTCCTATACTTCCTTCTCATGTTGGTGATGGTAAAAGTATGTTCTGAAGCGTCATAGTTGAGTCCTTTTGATAAGCGCACAAAGCATATGTAGGATCCTCAACCCTGTTCAAGAAAACTCTAATTTGCTGGAAAGATTATGTTACGTAAGGGTTAAAAATGGATACATCATTGTGAGGAACTCATAAGATGGCTTTTGACAAACATATACGTATTCACTAGTGTTTGAACACGCCAGTGTGGGAGGTATGATGATTTACTTCGGACTTCTCAAAAGCTGGATAATGTTAAGGGATGCCATAATGTATGGAGTACAGTTTTGTTCAGAGTGAGTCAAAGAATGCATAAATATACCACTGTGCCTACTGTTATTCCGTAATACGATAGAAAGTAAGAAACGACAAGCAATCTAACTCGGATTCCATCCCGGTTTAAAAAACCTACTTACCAACATTTTAAATATTAGTGACAGTCAACCTCTTACGTTTCTTATTGACTGGAATATTTTAGTGCAGATAGTTGTACGACAATACTTGAATAATTTAGCCCGTTTGTGTATCATTTCTAAACTATCATTTGTGAAGATAGTGGACGAAATACAAAAAAAGCCGGATAAATTGCCAGATGGTGTTATAGACAGACCAGTGATGCTGGTGATTAATTCACTGACACTAGATTTATATTTTACCCTTAATTTATGCAGAGTGATGATTTATACATATTGAAGATCTTGGAATTGTTTGTAAGACATGTGAGATAATGTTCAAATTGTTGCCCTGTACAACTGAATCACCCTTTACAGTGATGTCTCCAAACGGTCCTCTCAGTGTATGCCTGATCCAATCCATCTCCACTTCCTTCTGCATATTTGTTGAGCGATGGGTTCTTGATTGGTTCGTTGCCAACCAGCCAGAGTTCCTTGTTGTTTATTCTTATGATTCTGGCCCCTGAATTTCAATATCAGTATCGAGGCAGTGTAGGCAGCTGCTGATGTATTTCTGTAGTTTGTTGGGAATGCCAGCGTATGGTTCTCTTCTCGCTTCTCACAGTTTACTGCATAATCCAGTCCAGTCCAGTTGACCACAATCAGGAAGATCATCGGTGATAGTAGGCAACCTTGTCTTACTTCTGTCTTCACTTCACAGGCGTCACAAACTTTTCCATCGTGAATCACTTGGCATGTAGTATCATATAGCATAGCACATAGTTGTTGAGTGAGATTGATAAAGGTTTGTGGCACTAAAATAGTAGTGTTGGAGCAGCTGCCTGACAAATTACTTCCCAGTCGACGCTATTCAAGGCCTTTCAAAGTCGATGAATTTGAGGTAAAGATGCAATTGATGGCCATTCTATGCTCTGTTCTATGATGATGTGTAGCTTTGAGTTACAACTTGATCCGCATATGATTTGTTTTTCCCTGAAGCCAGAAGTCTGCAGACATTTCTCCATCCCATCCATTTACCGAGTGCCTGTCGACCCATGATTGGTTCTCTTCCTGTGTTGTCTGCTCCCAGTTTGATATTCATGTCAGAGGTTAATGATGACATTATGTATATTCTAAGTTTGAACAGTTCTGCATCAGATGAATTGAAATGTTTGTGTACGCGAAAAAAATCTTTGCACTGTTGTCATGTTGAGCTGAGACTGTGTTTAAAGATAATCCTAAACAAAAATAAACATAAGATAAAAGACCAATATAAACAAAGTAACAGCTGAAGGTTGTTTTGTCAATAGTGCACAGTTTTATTGTTTCTTGGGATCAGATTAAGAATATTTGATTCTTCAAATTTTATACCTTTGGAGACACAACTGTTAGAGAATTCAAAGGCAGTCTGTTTTCTTCCTCTAACTGGATAGTTAAATGAGTCACAAAAAAGAATAAAGCTTCGTAAACCTGTTTCTTAATGAAATCACTAATATACTGTGACTTGGGAGAGACAGAGTTATTAGCAAGCAAACGAAGTCTACAAATGAGGAAATAACAATTCTTTTCGTTATCAAAAAGTGTCAAAACCTGTTAACATTCAACTACCTAATATTAACCAGGAATACATAATTTCTCCATGGTTTAGAAACTACAAATATGGGACTAGGTCATCCAAAACTCGAGAAGTACTGCACGTGATATCATATGTCTGAGATATATTCAGTTCATCAGATTACATGATTTAAACTAACTGGCAACCAAAAGTATATTGGTTGTTAATTAGGCTGGATATTTGTGGTATGCGTAATGATAATAATTCCAAGTTTTACTTATAACCATTAACCTGTCCAGTTTGGTTAATCCGATGAACTGAATATTTGATATTAACTAATAATTAGCCATAAATGAGAGTGGGTTATTATTTCATTAACATGTGATATCTCTTCGTGAGTCAATAAATAGCTGATATAACTCTACTGCTTTTGGCGAAAAGCATTCAGGTAACTAGTTTCAATGAGACAAGTGGCTTGAAACAATCAAAAACACAAAAAAGCAATTGAAGATTGTTGTTATGATACTTGTAATTCCCCGTTGCTATACGGGCCGAGTTGCTTGATCTCTGTTGAAAAGAGGTGGCTACCCTACACCAGTGGCTTAGTGGATGACGCTCGGGCGTTTCAAATGATGAGTACTGTGCCTGAGCCCCAGTGGGGACAACATCACTGCCTGTGGTGCAGACACATCCAGCTGATGAGTCCCAAATACGACGAAACACCGGTTCTACATTCCTCTGCCGGCCACTAAGATCAATATAATTAAAGATAGCTTCGTTTAACAATACATATTGTCAATAACATCCTGATTCAGTTTTAAAAAAACCTTTAGGTGAAAACCTTACAGTTCAAACGCTTTTAGAATTTAGTGTTTAATTTGATTCAGTTATTTTTAACTTGATGTCGCCGTTAGACAAAAAAGTCAACTAAGCGAGACCTGTTATTACATTTATCTACACTAGGAGGTAGGCTCTTGCAGTGGAATTTAATATAGAATAAATCTTTGTTTAGGTAGTAAATATTAGTTATTAATAAATTCCAAAGGTCAAAACCAATAGCAATAACAACGTCCGAACTTTAATTTAGACCAAATCACACTTTTCGGGTCTAATAAGTTTTCAATAACAACCTAATTAGCCTAAGGTTTTATCCGTATTCAGTTTTTCATCGAAAGTTTCCTGATTTATGCACTTGCACAGTGCAAAAACTGACAAGATCATATCTTTCTTCCCCAAATAAATCACGTGCTTCGTAATTTGAGTTCATTTTAAATTTTGAAGAAGTCAGTGTCAATGAATCAGTAATTTGCTGCATAAGGTGTGTCCAACTCCCAAATATATTTACGTATATGTTTTTTTTAACAATTTTACTCGGTACATTTAATTTTTCAAATGAAATTGCAAGACTTTTAGTAAGTGTGCATGGAAGTGAACAGTTTCAGTGTGAACACCACTCACCGGTTGCATACATGGTTTATACGAAATGAGTATTGATTGTTACATAAGAAGATATATTTTTTGTTACAAAAAATTTTTACTCAGGAACGAAAGTCACCAAATAGTTTCTCTATCCTTTTCAAATTGAATATTATGAGGTTTAGAAAGGGAACGTTACTTGTTGTTCGGTGTTCTCCGAGCTTTTAGGTTTTTCCTTAGACGTTTTATTGCTAGACTAGGCGACTTCTTTGGGATTTACATCACACAGAAGTTGGAAGTTCATTATTCTCCATGTAATTGTCCCTTTTAAAGACGTTTGATTACTATTGTCTGCAGAATAGTTGAGTAAAACGAATAAAATCCAGAGGACTGGATAATCAGTGAAACCCGACACATATTGGTTACATATTATTCGATATGAAATAAAGTCGGGAAAAACTGCTTATGATATTATGTATTATGGTTAATAATATGAAGAGTTTGCGTCAGCTAATAACAAAAGGAAATGGAAGTGAAATAGTATAGGATATTTTATATAAGGTAGAGTTTCCTATGACCAATAGTTCGCTGGGCTTATGCATGACGAATTTGTTGAAGCTAATTCATTATTTCAAAGTCAAACAGCCTGAAGACTATTTATTTCTCAATAATGAAAATCCTCAGCTTTAAATTAGAGTGATTTGTGTGTAGTGTGTAGAATGCATAATTACATCAAATCGTGTAAACTTTCTTCATTATTTAGTGTTAGTAGACCGAAATGTCTGATGGAAATTGACAGTAATTATTAAGTGGTACTGCATTTACTGTAAGGGAAAAAGCCTGTAGTGTTACTGAATGTTGTTCAAACGCATATCAGAGTAAGTGAACAAGTAAATCTAGGAAGCTGGATATCCTGTAATCTCATGAACTTTTTCAACTAGAATTTACTTTCTTTAATCTGAATTAAAAAGTATTCACTTAAGGGGCAGAGGTTCTAAAATGCTATGAGGTACTTTGAATTCATGATAACTAGAGGATAGGAGTATCTGGAAGATGAGAGGGGGGAAAACGATTCAAGTGAGGCGCAGCTTCATTAGGGAAGTAGTAAGAGAGTAGATTTCTGTGATTCTTGCTCATAACAGAATGTTATGCTACATTATGTCGTTGAAGATATTAGGAGGTAACTTTAATATAAATCAAAGAAATCTTCTCTATAAATTGCATTCTTGATAATTGAACGACTTAATCATCAGCATGAGATCTTAGATTAACAGATATATTTGCCTAGATTCACTCTCTTCATGGACCAACAGGTGACTCTTCTACTTCTAGCAAAACTTTATTTTTCCTGAGGGTAGCTTAGTGTGTTCATCTGGGACTGATCCTTATAATAATATCGTCTGACGCTGTACGATGAGATTATTTTCATCTGTTAATATGTATGCGTATTGCCATGGGAGGGGAGCTATAAAATATCCTTTCTGAATATGTATTGAAATCCAGTAGTGCATTATTTTTGTTTCATCTTTTCAACTTTAGATTTGAATTTCCTTCGTTCAATGTGTTTCTTATACTACGTTGACATACTTACGTATATGGGTGTAATAACCTCAAATCAAGGAATTCAGTCAGCGCGTATCATGTTCACATTGTTCACTATATGGATGGTCGGTAGCGGAATTATGCATGTGGTTAGTTGCCGTTTTGGAAACTAATTATCCTACTTTCAGTCCTAAAATATCCTAAGAGGTCATTGTATATATATATATATATATATATATATATATATATATATATATAAATGATATCATTCAGTGCTCTTATTAAAAGCATTATCGGTATGATATTATGGTTGAAGTCACAATTTTCATAACCAGGCTTACTTAAAAATCGCCCAGTAAGATTACAACAAAATTCACACCATGAACTTCAGAAGTTAACGCATAAGTTATGCAGTTAGTTGTTTGCGAATTTTGTGATCAATAGAATTTTATATTAGCTAAAACTGTTTCTGATGACAAATACACGTAATAGAACTTCATTTCACAATGAATGCATACCGCTTTCTGAATTGGCTTGAAATGATAGTGTCATTTCACATGAATTATATTGCATAATTCTAATTCACCAAAACTTTTAACTCAAAAGAAGCATCATTTTTTAAAGTATCTATGAGGATTCGTTTCCGAAAATGGACGGGATTATACAATGTGTAACGAAATTCAGATTATGGTTTTTATAATTCTGTCTACTTCAAGAAATCTGTTACTAGAAACTCCCCTAACATACGTTTAAGTTTTGTGGTGAAAATTACTTAGGATATGTTTTCGCTGCCTCTTTTGAAAATTGTACTTGACTTATTTTCTTATGTGTCTATGTTATGTCTAAACTTTATTCTCGAGAATTCTAAAATTTAGTTAACCCTGAATTGTAAATACCCTTACCACTTTATTGAAGTTTAGACAAAGTTTATTGAATGATGTGGCATAAAACACCTGCAGAGTGGTGCATTCATGATATACGTCCCCAGATATTATTGGTTTCAATAGTACATACATTGATGGAACTACTGATCGCATTGTACAAGATTCACTAGAGCAAATTTGAAGACTACGCTAGCAGCTATTGAAATGACACATTGAGTGTATTTTACAAAAACCTACCATTCACACTGAAATGAAAAAACTTGTAGTCTATCTTATTAGTTGTTGTGATGGTCTTTCAATTTACTGGAATCACTGCACATTTGTTGTTTATGCTAATTAGTACACTGAAGTTAAAACAAAAACTTTTAGAACTGGATTGTTGGTAGTTTTCCGAATCATGCGTTTATCTAATTCACATCTGACGCTGGTTTCATATATCATTATTTCCACGGATGAGAATCACGATCCGTCTAAGCGATTAGTTTTACAATTTATCCCTTCATAATTTGCAAATTTGATATGATTTTTACGTAGAAAATAATAATACACAGAGGGTGACTTCACTTAATAAGCATTTATTTCAGAGCCATTAGCTCCACTGAAGTCAAGATGCTGTCAAATTGAGTTATAAAACAAGTGTTAAATAAGATGTCTTTTGAAACAAATAAACCAGTAAGGCTGACACTATTTGGAAATGCTCCTACTTCCTTTACTTCAGTGTGTTATAAGAACTTTTAAGTTGTTGAAAAACCGATTAAGAGATCAGAGCTAGCATGGCTTAGATGAGTATCTACTTCATTATGTAATTCTAGCAATTACCGACAGCCTACTTGGGAATCCTGTACAAAAGTGGTTATGTTCTCTTAAATGTGCGGCTGGTGATTAATATAAATGGATTTTGTAGCATATATATATATATAGGGTAACTAGTTTGAAGCAGTGAAATTATGACCTCGTTAACTAGTGAACAGTAATTACTGACAGATTATGTAGAATTTGTGGACAATAAATTGGCCTTAAGTGGTCATTTTTGCGTTGATCATTTTCTTTTAGCATCATTACCACACGGTCTTACCGTTATTTTATGTGATAAAAGGTTATTAAAAATTAAGGTATCAAAATTTGGAACTGAAATGATTTCCTTCAAATAATAGGCTATGATACAAATCACAGCTGAGTTAATTGTAACAAAATGAAGTTGAATCATTATTATTGTTCCCAAAAACAGAAGATCAACCTGAGAAGTCAGTTTAGCAACATACTTCTTGATTTGTTTGAAAACGTTCCACCTCTTTTGCACATTATTTATGGAAACTCTCGGTGTTTAAAGCTTTTGCTCAGATGAGAAATATATCCTTCCTTACAATTATTTCAGGTAACTGTTTAAAGCTGATTTCTCTTAGATCGACATAGCTAGTCGAATATTACAGACGGTCTCGATAACACAGTCTAATGCATTAATCTTAACTCATTTTTATTAGGATATACCGGTGGTGACAGATACAGTTAAATTCAAAGGGAATTAAATTATAAGCATCATTGTATTATTATTGTCCTAGCATATTTACTTGTAGTGTTTCTAAAAAGTTTACTGCTTATTTCATAAGTAAATTAATTATATTTTAACTGTTATTTTATTAAAAACAGAATTTATTTTATTTTCTTGGCTGTATCTAATTTCGGATTAACTATGACAGATTGAGCATTTAGGAGATTTTTGGTTGAATGAAAATCATCGTGGTACCTGGAGTTACTTTGAGGCATGTTATTTTCTCTTAGTAACTCTATCTACTGTTGGTTATGGAGACTATGTAACGCATACGACATTGGGCAAATTATTTATTTGCATATTTATACCTGTTGCAATGGTTAGTTCTTGTTTTTGAAGATTTATTAACCACTTGTGCTTCTCGAATACTTAGTGCATATCACATTATTTTATGCGGATAGAGTGTAACACAAAAGCCTTTTATTGATTATTCTCCAGGTAGGAGATTTCGTTAGACTGTGAAAGTGAGGTGGGTAGTGGGTGGATAGGGAGATTCTGCAAATATAAAATTGTTCATCAGATAGTATCACAATCCTTCAGATCTCAGTAACACTCTTTTTGGACACTGTTCCTGTCATCTTTCGTTATGAAGTACGCCGTCCTAGCAGGTCAACTTTTTCAAACCCTTTACCATCTGACAATTAGAAAGGTAGAGTGAGAATGATAATTATCAGCATCGGCCTTACTGTTACAGACTGGTATCACTTCGATAATACTTTTGTTTAACTATTAATTCTCTTTGTGTTCATAAGTTTTCCAACAATATGCTATCGTCTGCGGAAATTCGACAACGATAGTATACAGGCTTTCGTGAAAGGTTTTTCCATATATATATATATATATATATATATATATATATATATATATATATATATATATATATATATATATCACGTTAGAAAACAAAAAAGGGGTCCAATGAGAATATTTAATAAGCAGTAAGGGGGGGTGAGAGACTCAAAGGTGGACCTCTAACACTTTGTTGGTTTAAAGATAGTATTCTCATATCAACTGGCTAACTCAATCTGGTTACACTAAGTAGCTCATCACCACTAATGAAACATACTTTTCATACTTTTCTAACCACAGAACTATTACTAACAGCCTTCTGTGGTACGAATTAATGGAAGGCCATCGAGTCTTTTCTCATTGTCAGTGAGATTATAGATTTGTCACTAGTAAAGTATTCAAAGTTAGATTTAAAAGTGCAAAAAATTTGGAACTTTTAATGGGAAGATTTTGCAAGTGAGTTTATAACACTTTTCTCAATGCAAGTGCCAACAAAACTCACTCAAGAATGAGGCTTAAATACTTTGAATATACAAGTACTTAGGTCTATCCCTTCTGAAGTGTAAAAAATTATCCTTATCTACATATTCAGCAGCAAAGTTTGCTGGTTTTTAAGCCTTTCTTACATCTGCCAAAATTTACAGGAAATCGACTAGATTCAACACTTTGCTGCGTAGCACTGAAAAGAAAGTTACAGCTTGTTGTTGAGAAATATTGATGTAATGATAACAATCAGCGCTATACTTCACTCCAGCGAAGGCGTGGTAGGGCTTAGCCCTACTTTATTTAAGTCTCACAGAACCATACAGATGAATGAATAGTCTCGTTCTTGATTTGTTAGAACTAGGCTGACTGACCACTGATAGTATGTCGGTTCCTTCTGCAGAAAATTCGATCTTTCTAATATTAAATAAGTTGATAAGAGGTGACTAAAAGCTACAATATCAGCCTGTCAGTTTCAACATCAATATCTCTTCTCTTCTTCTTCAATAGAAAATGGTCTAGTTAGCCAATTTCAGATACTGTGTTCGCATCTCCATGGAAACAATAACAGAAGTGTAACTATGTTACATTTATCTGAGACGTGCATCCTAGATTTCATCGTTAATTCCTATTTGCCACCAAGCGTACACATATTTCATATAACTAGGCCGTGAGTTAGAAATTTCGTAAATCATTAAAGAGAAATGCGTAGACATACAATGGACAGTTAAGTCAAGATGCTGAAATTAGTATAAAAAATAGATTTACGCAAAAAACAATGAATCAATCTTTATTTTGATGAAAATATGACCTGTCTAGTTTATTGAAAGTCAGTCCAAATTTTCAACATATACTATAGTATTGTTGATTAGCAAAATGTCAGCTACTCGTGCATAATATTAAAAGTCATAATTTTAGAAAAGCTCACGTTGAAAAACCTTTTTGTCTAGACAGTGAAATTCAAGTACATAATAATAATAACATTATAAATACATTACCATCACAACTAATTATATCAGATAAACATGGAATTGGACAAAAGGTTGTCCATTAAAATTGGATTCATTGAAAACGTTGCTTCATATTTCCGGTCTCTTATGCAATATGCAAAACACTAAAATAGGCAATCAGAATACTGTATCTGTAGTACCAGTCTGCAAAACTACAGTTATCCAAGATAATCCCATTAGCAATAAAGAGATTACAGTGGAAGAACTGAATTCGATTAGATGATAGCGTTTTAAGATACTTGTAGCTCATAAGCAAGTCCTTACGCTTATTTTTGTTGTCATCCACTTTAGTTGATTGTACTTTATTAACCAATTAACAAACCGACCACCTATATCGACAGATTTGTTTTCAATACTCTATTTAGAAAATTGAGCAAACAGAGATCCTGAAGGCTGTTCAATTTAGCCGTCACAAATAAACAAAATAGACATCAATTTTAAAATTACTTGCGAATTCCTCCATTTATGTTGACATTTCTTACAGCTGTGTATAGCTAAAGAAAGTTAATTCATAGCTTTATTGTTCACATCTCTTGAACCTAACCGGGTGGCCCAAATGGAAGGATCTACCACTCACTTTTCTAGGTTCTAAATAATCAGATTACTCAGTGGAATACTTCAAATTTCGGGAAATTCCACCTACCACGGTAATTAATGTAATTTAGTTTCTAAATTATTGATTAAATGGAGTTTCTTGTATAACGATAGTTAGATTTTGTCTAAAAACATATATTTTTTCACAAGACTATATGTTTTGCATTCATGATTAAAAATTAGGAATAAAGAAGCCTAATATGTGTTGTTTAAGCCTACAGGCAGCGTTCATAGGAACAGGTATATGTTACGTCACGAAAACTTGGGATTCTTCAAGAAATCACTTGAATAGTTTCACTTGAAACAGCCTATTGCAGAAAGTGACGTTTTATTCAAAATTGCCTCAAGTGTTTCCATATCTTTCATCTCCCCACATATTATTACATCTTACTTATAATTTCAGGGTGTTTCTGCAAGTTTCGTACCAGAACTATTTCGTAATTTCAATAATAACTACGCTAATTCCTCTGACCGCTATGAACCAATCTCTGGTGAACGGTGAGTTATTGACAGTTATCTATGATGCTACAATTCCAACTTGACAGTTATCACACAGGTTCTTTTTACCTTCAGTTATTGTAGCTTATTCTTGTTTTATGGTTGAAGTCAATTAGTAGGACATTCGATAGCTACGTTTCATGCAAGCTAACACTAGAAAAATATATATCAACAACATAAGGGAATCCTATTCTTCTTCATATCGTCAACTGCAAGTTACACATTATTTCAACTAGAGACGTTCAATACGAGGTATTTGAGTCGTCCAGTTTCTGCAGGCTTTAATCCAGTTCACTCACAGAAGAATGAATGGTAAACAACGCCACGTTGTTTGATATTTAGTACTTATAGTAGTTCATGAATCGAGTAAGCGATTAAACTTCTAAGAGAAATGACCTGAAGTTACTGTACATTCTGTCATTTCAGAAAGCAACTGATGCAAGCTTTTCAAATGAATCATGGTACACGACGATTTTCGAAGCTTATCCCTAGTGTCTGTGTTACAAACCTGGTCTTGATAGTCCAGCCAACAGTGATATATGGGCAAACTATGGATTCGGTCTTACTCATTCACTCCACGCAACTATTATCTTCATGAATATGAATCATCATAGATGACACTATCCTTCTTAGCGTGACGCAAACTATGTAAGAATCAGAAGGAAGAAAAATAAGTCAGAAATATAGGGCTCCCAAAAGCATTAAAACAGTCATTCACAGGTGGTTGTACGAAAAGCTAATAAAATGTATATATATATATATATATATATATATATATATATATATATATATATATATATATATATACGGATGGGATCGGGCATACACTGGGGACATCACGCGCCAGGCCCTCGAGTGGAATCCAAAGGGGAATCGACGAGTTGGGCATCCGAGGCGATAGTGACATGGAGGAGATGGTGTGAGGAGGAAATGAAAGCTTGTGGGCATTCATGGAGCCAGGTTGGAAAGACTGCAGAGGAGAGAGTTCAATGGAGGCGTGCTAGTGAAGCCATGTGTTCCACTAGGAATCCATAGGAAAAATAAAAGTAACAACCTAGAGTTAAAAAATAGGAAACATAGTGGTTCCAAGTAGTCTTAATTATTAGACTACGTATTATGTGGAGGGGCTAGCCATGATATAAGGGACAGTTTTATCATGGTACGGAACTTCTCTTATTCTTTCTGTTACAGAGTAGTATGAATCCGGCAAAACATCTATTTTGATCATAACTCTTTCTACAGGCATGTTATCGTTTGCGGAAATTTCGACAATGACAGTATACGTGCTTTCATCAAAGGTTTTCTCTACGGATGTCAAGCGAAGGGACGTGTGAGAATAAATATGGTACTTTTAAGACCGTAAGTAGAAACACTTATTTAGGTACATTTAAATTTTGAAAATAATCAGATTTGTCAGTGATTCAGTAATAAATATTGCATATTAGCTGTTTTAAATGGAGACAAAGTAACCAGTAACTGTGTAAGCTGAAATACTCAGCTTGACTCATTATAGATCTTCTGGAACTCTTGTGAGAAGAACTCATTGAAAAGCTGGAGAAATCTACATCGAAGTCATCTAGAAATATGTATTGAGTAAATATAACTGTGAAGCCTTTGTCGAAACTAAGATTAAGTGACTTTTCAATTTCGTCCTTGAAATGTGGACTGTTCTTTGAGGTATTTAAAGTGGTTGATTTCTCAGCCTTTTGGAGATGCTTTCTAAGGAAAATAAACCGAAATACGCGAAGTGAAGACAACTTACTGAAGCAGATATGAACTGATAAACCTTGAATAGTGGAAAAGAAAATTCAGGCAATCACTATCATTAAAACTCATGGTTCGATCTATCTTTAGGTATCCACATATTTTTAAAATGACTGCCAGATTTATGACTAATATATGTTTTACATCAAAACTTAATAAAAAGAAGGGAAACTTAAATTATAGAAGCCCAACCATCTTGTTCAAACGAAAAAGAGCTTCAGATACAGAAATTTCCTAAAGTATAATTTTAGACCAGTGAAGTGAAAACAGCCAATGTTGTTTGCACGGTATTATTCGAGGAAACAGTTATATATATATATATATATATATATATATATATATATATATATATATATATATATATATATATATATATATATAACATAATTGTAGCTCAGGGAGGAAAGGCAATAAACATGTTTGTTGCTTAGTTAAAATGTCTTATTTTGGTGAAACATGGTACAATTCTATCGGCTTACTGCCGACTGAGAAGTTTGATCAATTTGTATGTAGGTTTCTTGAAGAATACTGATAATTTTGTTTAGTAGGAAGAGAATTTCATAGCAACTAAGGTGTTAGTGGATTAATATTCCATATAATTTGGTCAATTTACTGCTCAAGACTCAGTAAAATATGGTTAACTTTGGGATTTCTGTTTTCATCCCTTATCTATAGTTTAGGCTAAGAAAACGCACATACTGAATCGCTTACATAAAAACAAATTTGCTTCTCTTAAAATCAGTTTTATTAAGATGTCATGAGTATTACTGTACTGAAACTCTTCCTTGGTTCTTCTGAAAACGAGGTATCACGCGTTAAAACATATGAATTTTTTGAAGACTAGTCTTGTTTACTCTTTTTATAATATTCAACTGAGTTACGAAATGTGTTCTTTGACCCGGTTTCTGTAGATTCTACACGATATTTTCACTAAATTATTAAACCGTGGTTACCATTGAAATCTGAACCTACTTATGGTGAAATCTTAACCATGTGTCTATTGATCACCCCTTAGGAGTTTTACAAGCTAAGCTATGAGACCTAACTGATGACTAGGTTTTGAATTCACTCCATTCACCAAGGTTCTATTTCATCCATCATGTGAATGGGTAATACATGATTACATCTCATCGTCATACTATTACACTGCTGAAAATTTTCGTTCCAATCTAAAACAAGCTGAGCTAGTGGATGGAAAGTGATCAACAATTGATGAAATCATCCAGGTTATTTTTAAGGAGTGGTGTAGTGATGAAAATTGACATGAAAACGTGCTTTTGTGGCAAATTTTCAATAGTATATTCGACTTTTTTAATCCAAGCGTAATTTCAAAACTTGACACTAAAATACTGAGCGGGAAAACACTCCATCTACATGTTTGCTTCTAGTTGTTGATGAGTGTCACTTCCCCGTAGTTTGTAGGCTTATTTTTCATGAATTTATCTTCTCAACACTTTTTTTCAAAATTTTATTCAGATTACCACTGGATTATGCATTGAAAGCAATTCTTAGCCCTTATCATGCTTGGGTTCGTTATTTCGTTGGCACACCAAATAATCCACATGATTTAGCCAGAACTAAGTTAAAAGAGGCGCGTGCTGCAATTGTCCTGGCTACACCAAATACAAAGTTTCGTGATGATGAAGATGGCGCAAATATCATGCAAGCTATTGCATTGAAAGCTAGAAAGAAAAACCTACGTGTCATTCTTCAACTACACAATTTTAGAAATAAGGTAAGTGTTCAAAAAAGGTCTTTTCCGTTGAGCATATCAAAATCAGCGTCATGAGAGAGAAATAAAATTATTCTCTGAGAAGAACATCCCCAAAGACCTCTGTGAACGAAATACAAACTCTACTATTCTTCAGAAATGCATTTCCAGGATTCCAGTCTATGGCGGAAAAATTCCTTGCGAGTTAAATCCATTAAAGTAGTAACCATTTCTCCTTGTATATAAATATGTTCATAATAAATAGCTATTGTGCCTAAGTGGTTGGATTTTTTATATCACTGCAAATGGTTCAACTTCTGTCTGAAGATATGATTATTTCAACGTTGTCAGATCTAATTGCAACATAGCTCACATATGACAGATTCATGTTTGACCCCAAGAAAAGGGACGAAATGAAGAACTTTCTTAGAATACAATAAGTAAATTTCTGATATTTATTGTAAATGAACTTGAAACGAATGTTTACACAACAATGAACTTTAAATGTCGGTAATAATTTTTTTTATTTATAAGTTATCATTGTGTAAACACTCACTTATAAATTTATTTACAATAAATTTACTCATTCATTTAATAGCTAAACTCTTTGTAAATACAAACGATTTTTTGGTTTCGGCAGTATCACTGAAGCAGTATTTCTAACAAAAACAGCGATACAAGTTATCAAATAGTTAAACAGAAGAGGTACAAATTTAACAACATGTGTGTAGCCTGGATGTGCTCCTCACTTCTCTAGGTGGTCGTCTTTCAACCAGTTGGTCAATTGTCCTAGTTTCCCTATATCTACTACTACTGGAAACACACACCCTTATACAAAAGTTGTGGCTTAGTGTCTTTCCATTGCTTGTCAAAATATATTTATATTAGTGATTTTAGGGTGATTCTAAAGCCACTCTAGTAGCTGTTGAAATGACCAATCAGGCTTCGGTATTTCACTGGAAAGGTACTTTCCCATAAAATAAAGGAATGTAATTGGCTGTCTCATCAGTTGCTAGAGTGACCTCTAAGGTCACCCTGATTTTACGTTAAGGTGACATCTGAGAACATGATTTCATGCACATATGTTTGTTAACGACAATGAGCGAATTGGAAACGTGTAAAATTTTCTCAGTAATATAAGTTAAGGGTGTTACTACATTCAGAATATTTAGAGCTAGAATTCATCCGTCAAAGGTTACGGTCCTTATTTTATAATATTTCACACATTACAATATAACCTAGTGTAAATTTACTGGTTCCCTTAGTTTTCAGTAGCTCTGACTTTCTCATTCTACCTTGGTTTTGGCTAACGCAGTTCGTTTTATATTCTCTCTCCGTTTGCGGAGTGTTTATTGTCTGAATTAACTCTGACTATTTAGTTGGTTCCGATCATCATTGTTACTTAATCTTGTCATGAAATGTCCTAGTTATCATAATATTTTTGTGTTTTTGTAAAAAGTAGTGAGTGTTGACAAGTAGTCACGTAAACACTTGACTGCATCTCTTGACACATAGCTGATACCTCTTCCGATTGTATTCGCCAATAGCCGATATTTTATCTACTAAAACTTATGAGTACTCTTCACTACCCAACATGCTTGATCATTTTATCCCATAAAACTGTAACCAAATTGTAAACTAAGTGCTAATTCGTTTTATTTTATGTATCAGCCAACGGTTTTGGTCTTTGGTGACAGTAAACCTGTAGCTAACCATGTAAATAGATGGAAAGTCTTGCGAACATTTATGAAGCTGACCACATACTTTCAAGAGCTTCCATAAACTATTGCATGCATTTTACCTGAGATTTGCTTATGGTGGTGACTGTGAAATGTACCACTTCCTGGAATTACAGAGTATTTTAATTTCTGAGACTGATATTTAACATAATCTTGGTTAATTGGTCCTAGTATTTTTGGTTAGATTAATGTACTATATTCCACGTGTCACTTCATTCCAAGTGATTAGAGTTTAACGGTTTGTCTTGTTCGTCATAAACTTTAAACCCATAACATGCATTCTAATACGATGTAGAATAGTTCACTGAGGGTTGAATTATCCAGTCTATTCTTTGTATGTATTTATGTATGCGTATTTGCTTATTTTAGTGTTTAATGAACAATTTTCCCCGTTGGACATATTTAGCAAATGATATGGTAGTTTGCATGGAGGAGCTAAAATTGGGTTTAATGGCTTACAATTGCCTAGCGCCGGGCTTTTCAACACTGATTGTAAACCTTTTGAATGCACATGGAAGTAAATCAAGGATATTCGAGGTAAAATGTTTTAAATTGTGCGCACCACAGAAAGATGTACAAACTTTGTCATTTGTACGTACTTTAAAAATGTAATATTAGCAAATAAGTGAAGCTGTGAAAATCCAGTAATTTATAAGTTACAGATGGTCTTTTAAGTGACGCCTTCAATGGTAAACTATCCAACACCATGGCAATATTTTAGTTTTGTAAAAATTCGAAAATTTTGAGGTAAAACGGTGTGAGCACCTAATATTCTGAAGTTAAAAGATAAAAATAATCATTTCAAAATTGACAAAAGCAATAATAGATGCGAAAAGATAATGATTTCGGCAATTCGTTAGCTCGTCACTCTTGGGTAGTAAGCTTGGTTAGTGAAAACTTTCGAACCAAATGTTCTTGGTGATTACTTTTACATACATGCACTCCTGATGTATAGATAGTCATTTGCCTTTCTAATTGTTTCCGAAGTTTATCATGAAACTTAATAAGTTTATACACAGCAAAATATTAGGTGATAAAAGACATTTAAAAGTAACTGAAGTATGAACTTATCCTTAAACTCAGATTAAAGTGCACACCTTAACACCAGTTCATTGAAAGTTTCGATGCTGAACCGCAAATCTGATTCACATGATATTCTATAATACCTTACATAATTTATTGATGTGTATACAGGACTGCAATATACAATAAATCTAAAACTATTGTTTATATGCATACGATAACAGTGACGCAAGAACTTCTAAAGCCAAAAACGCTTATTTTCACTAAACTGTTCTGTATATAAGTCGAAATCGATTGGTTTCAGCTGAGACAAAATGATTAATACCACATCCTTTCAACAATTTTTCTACTATTAGTTTTATATCTGCACTAAAAGACAAACTGAGAGGATTCTTAAATCGATATATGGTGTTCTGGCTTTTTAACATGTGGCTATGCTGAATATGTGTATCTTTAGGTTACTTAATCAGTGCAAGCGTAAAAGTTGTACACATTGGTGGAGTATAATTCCACACTAGGCTGTTTATTTGATATAGGACAGTCATACTGTTTTATTTATTGGCTGACGTTTCTAGTGGAATTTACTGCTTATGATGATATAAAAGTGACCACACTACTTCCAAGCTTCGCTTATATGATCCAAAAGCTCTTCATTCTTTTACTACCATTAAAGCAAATGAACGAAGAGCTTTTGGATCATATAAGCGAAGTTTGGAAGTCGTGTGGTCACTTTTATATCAATAGTAAATTCCACTGGAAACGTCAGCCAATAAATAATACAGTATCACTGTGTTCTATGTCAAACAATTTTATATGAAATTACTGAATTAATACCTACAGAATTAACTTCAATCCATCACTGTGAAATATGGTTTTGTGTTGATTGAATTAGGCTATTAAAGTTGTATAAAACTAATCTTAATTCACTTAACTTGGTGGCTGCATTGAATACATTGATCGATAGCCTAGAATCAGTAATGAAGACAAGTCTGTGGCATTGTCAACCATCAATGCACATAAACTTAGTTTATTTATTAAAATGAGCTCCTATTGGTTAGACTATTTTGTAAACCATACTTAGATGTGAAAATATGGAAACAACAAAATCATGTGCTTGATATCAGAAGGCAGTCGGTGCCAAAGAGTCAACCTAGGCTTCCTCTTTTATTGTATTCGTTAAGAAGGAGCATCTGTAAACCTCAGGAAACTCCTTTTTAGTCAAAAACTTCAGCCTGATTCGGCCATCATCTGTGTTAGAAACTTAGCCAATGAATAGCCCTAAACGAGTTGGTCAGTGAATGGTAGCTAGTGTTGTTTTTAATTCTTAAAAGCTGATTGAATCCCTACACCCACTTACATTTTAACCATAATGTTCCTTCAATATTGAACTTTATCTTCCATAATCTGTATATGGTACTGTTTTTAATTCATCACTTTGACTTGTTGTCTAGTATGAGCAATGGAGAATAGAATACGAATACGGATTCCGCATGCAGTTACATGATGTTGGTATTAGTCATGAGTTCTCAAATTTGTTTATGAGAGATTTAGCCATGTAAGTTTTAACTGGACCTACTTTTCACGTTTCAACACCTTTTTGCCATAAATAAGACAGTTCTAATTATAATATCACTAGCTAACCACGTTAATAAATATGAGTAATATGAACTAACTTACGGTATTAAGTAAGATATTGCCTAAACTTTATTCTGTTATTATAGCCTCAGATGAATCACACTCCACGGTCGTAAATTGATATTCATTGAATACATAACTGTAATCCTCACCAGGTAATAAAATATCTTTCATTTGTAAGAAATATCCAAACAGGAAGAAAATATTGGATAATTTGGATAGTGATTGTTATTTCCACCCTTTCATATTGGTTGACAAAATCTAGATGAGCCTAATAACTATTTAGCGGAATCAAAACCGTTTCAAACATACCTTCTGCTTACTTCATACAAAACTGTGCCTAACACTTCTTCATAATTTAGACTTTCCTGTAAGTAATATGCTAGCTTCTGAGGGTGGTCTCAACACCTACGCGAAAGTAGAACTCCTGGTAAAAGTGTGTTGATTCAAAAAGATATATTTCTCACTACAGATATATATATATATATATATATATATCACGCCTTCCACCTACAATATCTAGGTCTCATAGTAGTAGAGCTGGAGAGGCACAGATGCTAAGGATCACGTCCACCAATCGATAGGTAATCAATGTCGTGGTCCTGTCACAGGTAGCACTGAGTTTAAGTTTTGCGCAAGAAGTTTATAATTTTTGAGGGATTGTTGTAATACCTACATCACCAAGACTGGTTCAGCTTCACAAATAGGTTAAGTGATCAGTTCAACCACTTGGCTGTCGTTTTATTTCCTAACAACACCCAACCGCAGACTAGTAATACAGCTTCATTTCACGGTCAATGATGCTTATCACAAACTCTCAGGCTTTTCCTTAAGGTATGCCAGGAATTTATGGACTCTCAACATCTCCTACCGAGATTATGTAGACTGTTCATCTGGATCATCATATACTTGGATACAACTGAAGTCACTCACTAATAATATCTATCACCCTCTGTTCTTCTTACTAATCTTAAGATCTTACTCAAAGTAAAACAAATACTGTAAAAAGTATGAAAGATATTTCTAATTAGAACATAAATAGATAAGTCTTGAGCAGTTTGTACTCAACAAGTATATTGGTTATGACTCCGTGACCAATTAGTGTACAAATACAGCTAAAAGATGAACACCTCAATTTATAGGTGGTTGTCCAGTGATAAAGCAGTAAATTCTATTCACTTCTTGATCTCCTGTTGATTTTGTTGATTACTGGGACCAATGACTTTTAGATAACTATTGAAAATTCAAAGGAGTATAAGGTCTCGAACATTTTCAGAAAAATAACTGACTAACTTGTTTTTCTTTATGAAAATCAACTCATGGATACATCTTACCACTAACCCTTTTCTGTCTTTCTGTACTTGTTTCGTTTTTTCTGTGTCCATTTTTTAGATTTGTTTATGAAAAGTGGAATCTTATATTATTAGCTGTACGTGTCAACGGATTAGAGAAGTCTTCAATGCTAATAAATCCAATTGAAGTAAACTGTCCAGTGAATAATAATTCAATGCGTGCAATAGTCATTTCCAGTGATTATAGTTCTGCTTTAAAGTATGTGATTTCATTAAATTTGTTAAATTTCCACGTGGTTTTTGCGAGAAAATGCAAGAAAGTGTTTCAGCTCTGATCAGTTGTACTTCCCCATTTATCGCAGGGTTGCGACTGAAAAGCATCATAGCTTAGGTAACTACTTATCAGGATTGACTTTTTGTTTCAATTACATGAGTCAGTGAATGGCAATTTTGTGAGTTATACTGGTGTTAAAAGTTATGACAACCTATCCTAGTTTACTAATTCACTAGTTTACTAGCCGGTCGTATGCCCGGATGAAGTGGGAAGGTTGGACATAGGGCTAGTAACCCTACCACTTAAAGCCAATTCAGTCGCTAAATAAATTTCAGAGCACAAAAATATATATGAAATAAAAATAAACCTATTCCTCACTGGAATCGGAGAGGCGAAATGACGCCAGTTGGTGAAAGCCTTCAGCAAGCCAATTGACCGATCTATCTTCTCTTGATTAAAGCGAAAGTAATCATGGGGACATGGAATGTCCGAACAATGTTTGAAGCTGGCTGACAAGACTGCCCAGATTGCAAAAGAGATGAGAAGGTATAGCACAGAAGTGCTAGGCTAGGAATCTGCAAAACCAGATGGAATGGAAGTGGACTCTCCAAACTGTCAGCTGCAGAGTCAATAATCTACTCCAATATTGTCACCCACACGACAACCATGAGCACACTGAGTTTTCGAGTGGCTATCATGATGTCCCCAACAGTATCAAAGGTTCTCTCCCATGCAGTGGGAACCAATCTCCTCCTCCAGCTGGATCATCGCAGCAAGGTTCAACTCAAAAGGAGTGAAAGTCACAATCATGCAATGCTACACTACACTACACTACGCACCTACAAATAATGCAGATGAAGAGAAGGAGGAGGAATTCTACAGACAACTGCAATCAGCACTGGACAAGACCCCAACCCAGATGGCGACATCACAATCCATTCTAATGGGTGGGGTGACATGAGTGCCAAACTGGGAGCGGACAACATAGGAAGAGAACCAAATATGGGTTGAGAAACACTCGGTGAAATGAACGAGAATGGAGAACTGTTTGCAGACTTCTGTGAGATCAACGATTTGGTGATTGGAGGCGAGGCAGTGTGTACAAACGCAAGGATAATCACAAGGCAGTGACATGGACTTCACCAGACACCAGGATACACTGAAAATCAGATTGACTTCATCTGAATATGAAGAAGGTGGAGATGCAGCTTACTTGACACAAGATGAAGAAGAGCAGATGATGTAGGTTCAGACCGTTATCTAGTGCAAGGAATCTACAAAATCAAGTTGAAAGCCATCACAGAAGTTGGTGACAGGCCACAGTTCAAGTTCAACACCCAGAACAGAGACTGAAGGACGAAACTACAAAAAACCTCTTCACTTCAGCTACCGGGAATAAATGAGAGATATTAGGCAACATTCCTGAGTAAACCTATATAGATCAGCACTGGAACTCTTTGAAAGCTATGTGGAAAGAAACCTGCATAAGCATATTAGGAAGGAAGACGAAGCAAGATAAGGAATGGATCTCGACGGACACATGGAAGCTGATAGAGGAGGGAGAGGAAGATGGTGATGGTGAAACAGAAGATAAACCAGTGCAGTGCAGGGATCAGTAACGAAAAGAGGAACTGAACGCACTGGACACTGGACAAAGAAGTGAAGAAGAGTGCGCGGAAAGACAAAAGACACTTATACGACACACTGGCAAGTGAAGCAGAACAGGCTGCAGGTAGGAGAGACAGAGACTTGACAATATTATACCGAATAACCAGGTTACTATCTGGGAGGGAAGAGATCAACACCGATGAAACCAATGAAAGATAGTGAAGGAAACTTAGTTACCACCAGAGAGGAGAAACAAAGGAAACGATGGGCTGACCACTTCTAAAAACTCTTAAGTCGACTGCCACCACCACCTGAAACTGGTCCAGAAATACCATCAGCAGCCCAGCCACAGAAATATCAGTGAACACAAACCCTCTAACAAAAGCAGGGGTGCTGAACAACAGAAGGTTGCTGAAATCCGGGAAAGCAGCAGGACCAGATGGAATTCCACCAGAATCACTGAAAAGAGACGCAGAGACAACAGCGGCGGACATGCTCACACCACTGTTGCAGACGTTTTGCAGGGAGGGAAGGGAGGAAAGGTACCTGCCAGTTGAATGGAAGAAGGGATACCTTGTCAAACTCCCAAAGAAGAGTGACCCAAGTCTTTGCAAGAACTGGCGCAAAATCACGCTCCCGACCACTTCTAGCAAGCAAATTATTAAGCCGCATCATCTTGGGGAGACCAAAAGAAAATGGTCTGCATTCAGAATTACGACCGGAACAGGCTAGCTGGTTTCAGAAAGGACAAATCATGTGTGGATCGAATTGCAATGCTACGCATCATCATAGAACAGAGCATAGAATGGAAGTCAGCTGCATCTTCACCTCAACTTCATCGATTTTGAAAGGGCTTTCGATAGAAGATAGACATACGCTGGCTGGGCCGATGAAAAGACCCCACAAAAAGATTTGGTTTTCGCCGGTGATGATTTCTGGCTTATATCGCACAAGCTTGAAGATCTACATGTAAAAACTTACAAGTTGGTAGAAGAAGCGAGGCAGCGAAGGAAGACGAGACTTCAAGTGAGTATAGAGAAGACAGAGGTGATGAAGTTACCCAACCAACAACAACAAGCACCAATCACCATCAACGGGAGAAATCCAAAGGAAGTAGTCTCTTTCACCTACCCAGGCAAGGCAGTATCGTTTCAATTACAGGTGGCACAGGCACAGACGAGGATGTCAAAACCAGGATAGGAAAATCAAGACAGGCCTATCTTCATTAATCTGAAATCAGTGTGGTGATCTACTCCACTCCACTCCATTCCACTCCACTCCACCCCACTCCACTCCACTCAGCATAAAGCATAAACAAGATCCAGATTTTCAACACTAATTCAGTCAAGTCAGTGCTTCCATGTGATGGTTCAGAAACTTGGCACGTTATGCAAAGCACTTCCAACGAACTACAGAAATACATCAACAGCTACCTACACTGCCTCGGTACTGACATTGAAAATCAGGTGGCCAGAATAAAAAGAATAAGCAACAAGGAACTGTGGCTGGCTGGCTGGCTGGCTGGCTGGCTGGCTGGCTGGCTGGCTGGCTGGCTGGCTGGCTGGCTGGCTGGCTGGCTGGCTGGCTGGCTGGCTGGCTGGCTGGCTGGCTGGCTGGCTGGCTGGCTGGCTGGCTGGCTGGCTGGCTGGCTGGCTGGCTGGCTGGCTGGCTAGCAACGAACCAATCAAGAACCCATCCATCACCCAAGAAATATGCAGAAGAGAGTGGAGATGGATTGGATCAGGCATACACTGAGAGGACCGTTTGGAGACATCATGCACCAGGCCAAGTGGTCGAGTGGAGCCCGCATGGGAATTGACGAGTTGGACATCCGAGGTGATGGTGACATGGAGGAGATGGTGTGAGGAGGAAATGAAAGCTTGTGGGCACTCGTGTAGCCAGGTGGGAAAAACTGAAGAGGAGAGAGTGCAGTGGAGGCGTGCTAGTGAAGCCATATGTTCCACTAGGAACCTAAAGCACAAATAGTAATAATAATAATAATAATAATAATAATAATAATAATAATAAAAGTCATGACAGGAAAGTAACATAGAAAAGTATGTTCCCTTCAATGACTAAATTTTAGATGGTATAAATGGCTTTGAATGTATGCTGTCTGTACACCTATATTACAAACACATAGTAACGAGTAGGATCTACTTCACTGTTATCATTAGTCTAAGAATATAACTTTGACAGAATTCCTGTATGCTTAGGTTCTCGACTAGGTGCATTTTCGATGGCTTTTATTAAAAAAACCATTGTAAGGGTAAGATATTGGTACGATTACTTGCTATTCATAAAGACAGAGCCATAAATGAGTTCTGATTGAAAAAAGTTCATATTAAGTATTTTAAATTTTTAATCTTCCCGTAGACAACTGTAATTTTATTTAAATGTACCATTTGTTGGAATTTGATGGATTTCAAGGGAGATTCGATCATGCGATCACATCAGTTAGAGAACAATGTGAGCCAAGGAGCAACAGACAAACATTTTGTTTCAAGTTATAAGTTATATTCAGTGCACATGCACTACCTCTTATGGAGTCGACCTCATGACTCTTAGGTCTTGTGGTAAGCAGGCTAACTAAGGTTCATCTATTTAGCCGGGATTTAATTACCGACACATTCTGTACTCTATGCAAGAAATGTCTTGAAATCAGTCAACTCCCACCAATTGACCTACTTGAACGTGAAGTTAGCGTTGATTGTTGATTGACATCAAGAAAGATTTTTCGACACGTTACTAAGGAGCTCTAAAATGATGAATCTAGCAATTTGATTATGATGACGGATGTCTACCAATAATATTGATTGACAGTCATGTTATTTCATCAATCCGCAGAAGTCGGAAAGTAAGGTTTATTGAATCCTAACTTATTAACTGAATGGTAGCTCCTTCATCATGAAACCTGATGGTCTTGAATTCTAACCACTTGGAAGTGCTAAAACAGTGGAAAATAACCATTCAGTGCTATTTAAATTTTACTAAGTCTCTAGCTGACTGGAAAATATGGTGCAAACTGCCTCGAGTTTGCAGTTTTATTCCCAATCAGATTCAGTAAAATATTGTAATAATGGAAATCTCAAACAACATTTTAGATAATACCTAACTGTTGTCCTACTAATAGCAAGAATTGTACAATGGTTGCAGCTTACGCCATGAGATCAGCTTGCTAATTAGAAAGTTTTATTTTGACTTTTATGAAGATAATGTAAGCCTTCCGTCATTAAATCTCTTTATGCCATTTCTGACCGAATAGAACTGTTTAAGTTACAAGTTCATTGTTTAAAAAGTCTACTGTCTAAGAATGCTTCAACTAGGTAATTCTGAAATACATGAAAACTGATGTTTAATATGTCTTCTAGTGAAAAGTATTTACCTTTTTTAGTATAAATATATTGTAATACGTAACTTTTGACGTTGCTAAGTGAAAAACAGCCTATCTTAAAAAGCATCACATCATGAACATTGAACATGTCTCCTTTCTTCATTGTACCTTTTTGTTGTGCAATGATTCGCCAGTATAAACACAAATATTCTTAACTTAGAGTTCTAAACAAGTGATTTGCTCAATTTGTTAGACATTTTCGCGAAGAGCTGAACAAAATCATGATAGCATGAAAGTTCAGTTTACTTTTGAAATAAGTGAAGTTTAACTGCGAAGTTATTTTCAGTGCTATTTTGAGTTTTAAAAAATCAGCTTATAAGAGACCATGTCTTCTTGTAAAGTTGTTTTTCCTTTTACTTTATTTCTGAGAGTCAAAAACCAAGTTTGTGTGATAAGTGGACACTAAAAATGAGGTCAAAGATAAATTCTTTCAAATGATGCACAATTTATAAACTTACTAGTTACTAATGGATGTTTTAATTAGTAATTCAAGTACTAGGTTGTAATAATCGTTGTAATCTTGTTCTTTGCCCACAGTTATTCGATAGTGAATGATCACTACAGTTTAGAGCAGGCGTGAAATTTGTTTTACTTAGATGTGACAATTCATTTCCAGTTCGTTTCCACCAAAAATGTAACTAGAAAATTTAAATTTTTAGAAAGACATTTTATAGTGCCGCTTTACAAAATACTTGTATGAAATTTGAACTTCCTAACGAAATTTGTATCCAGAAACTGAGCACAACCTTATTCAGATGTTAACGAGTGTGAAACTGTCTTGCATATATTTGAGTTGAATCTAGTCATTAATTTCCACAGATCCTTTAAAAATATGCAAGTACTCCAGTCTTAGATACAGAACGCTCCAAGAACCTAAACAGAGCATTAGACAAACATGTTTTAGGTTGAAATTCCCTAGTTTGATATTCCTAAAAGTCGTTGTGGTCAACGTTTATTTGTTGAGGTTGTAAAAACTTAAAGATCAAAAGAATATGAATTTATGGGTTTTACCACTGAAAGATTTGGTAGCAGCTATACATTTCAATTGTATTTCGTGAATTTTTCCATGGCACATTTCATCAAAACACTTGCTGAAGCTGCTGTTGTTATATAGATGTATCAAAAATAATCAACTTGAATGGAACCAACTTATGGTTCACAGTTAGAGGATTTCTCATTTCACGTAGATACATGAATACATAGGTTTTAGAGAGCTTTTTAGTTTTCCTTATATTGCCTGCAGAAAGTGTAAAAAAGATAATATCAACCTTAAAATAACGAAAGTTTTCATTCAGTGCGTCTTTGTAGTCATTCAAAAGGGGAGTTGACGTAATGCTTCTCATGGATTATTTCCTTCATTTTTGAGTAGTTTTCAAAAAAGATAAAGTAATACAACGCTTTACAAAACCGACGACGAACTCTCAGGATAGCTTTTATAGCCTATTTATAGAACTATACGAGAAGTTCAAATAGTTATTTTCAAATATCAAATAAAAGTAAGAGAAGTACGGAAAGTCTTAGAAGTAAACTAGATTCTGAAGCTTGCTCACTAAATTTATCATCAAAAGTGTTAAAATTACCAAAAATGACCCCTTTTTTGATCACAGCAGAACAGATAAAGTTTTTAAATCTTTTCTTAGTAATTCAGTCCCATTTTTTGTTTAACAGTTTGCAGTATTATTGCGTTACATGTGAAGGGCATTTAATTGGAAGACCGTGCAGATGTAGGCGTCCTGTATTAGAAAAGAGAAGAAAGCTAACAATAGCTAGAGGTGAGTGTGTAATGATATCAGAAATTTGTGAAATGGAATTCTAAAGTTTCAGAAAATTGACTTAAAATATTAGTAATGGTTGACTTTCAGTGCAATTGTTCTGCGAGTAAATAGTTAGCTTGATAGTGTCAGCTGAAATATCAGATTCAGACTTCAAGAAAGATGTTTCAGAGAAACTAAATAAGTAACAAACCGGCAGGAAATACCATTACAAATCAGAGTCAAATAGTTCTGATGAGAAAAGAATAGGCAAAAATGCATTTTGCATAAGGTGGAAGCAATTTAATAATTATGGAAACATTCATTCCCAACAAGCTTCGAAACGAATATAATAGATTAAAACAAAGGGCTTTTAATGGTGGCTATTTAAAGTGTATACATGACTCTCTTCTTCAAATTGTCTGTCATCGTACAATCCTACTGTATAAACAGTGACAAAGAAAGCATGAAAACCACAACTAAAAGTAATAAAAAAAACACTGGAATCTAGTGTCGTTTTCCGAATTGATCGGTACTTGATAGATCAAAGATGAGAAAGTAAAGCTGTTGACTGAGAGCCTAAGCAATGACCGAGAATAGTGGCTAGCGGGAGAAATTCTAAAACGTAGGGAAGACATATATAGCAGTTATGAGTTATCATACAGTCGAGCCCATCAAAAAACTTATTTAAGAGAAGTAAATTTCAACTGAAATGCCACAAAAAATATAATTTGGGGTTCCGCTAACATAGGATACAACAAGTGGAAATATTTTGAGGGCTGTAAGTTTTTTTCTGATACTAAACGTTTTATAATTCCAGTAAAAACTGCCTGGGTTTACAATTTCTTACAGGTTACATTTCTGCATAATTGATAGGTCCATATTTCACAGTATTTTAGAAGCTTACCTGTTGCATTCTTTTAGACTTGGCACTTTATGAACAAATAGGACAGGCAAGAGAAAATGCTGTAAAGGCGTAAGTTCGTTTATCAAATATCCTTCACCGTAAATCAAAGCTTTAATAACAGTTGTCACAATTTCACTTTACAAAACAACAAGATACCCTTTTAACAATGAGTATGTACAAAATTTTTGCTTCCCTTTTCCTGAGCTTTTAAAATTTCATTAAGAATTTTTTCAACAAAGTGAAATTAAGTGACTAACAGGATAAAACAGTGCAACCCTTAATAAACTTGTGTGCCACTCCATGAGCCACAGCTCTTGTATGCAGGTGAATGTCATTGCTTGGTTGCCCAGATTTCATAGGTTGAGTGGCTGTCAGAGTTGTGACCCACTGAATGGAAATGGAGTTCTGAAACCAGCAGTCAACATATCAGTTCTCTGTTGGTGCCAAGTGCATACCCGAAGGTCAAAATCTTAGACCAAGAGTACGAAATCATAGTTACTTCTCTTTCACATCTTTCAACTATATTTCATGTCTCCTAACTAATTAATTGTTAGTATCTACGACATAGTAAATTAATTAAATGAGTAAACGCACACATGCTCAAGTTATCCACCCGGAGTACTTCCCATCCAACATAAAGCAGAGGCATCTACCCTCGTTTCTAAAAGTGAGTATTCCCTTTACTTCCCGGAAAACAGAATAAAGCATTTGGAAATGAATAGTCATCATCAGCTTAATTCACAAAACTGTGATAAAATTTCGAACAGGGCTACTACAGATTGTGGATTTTAGGTATTGGACTAAGTTAAGATTGGTATTTTATGCAGACAAAAGTAATGAAGGATTTTTAAAAAAGAAAGTGATAGTCCTAGATTTGATTTGAATGGCCTCCTAAAGCAATATTGTTTCAAATTCTTGATTAATACAAGCTGTAACCCGGGAAGTTCTATTTTAGGTTTGCAAAAACATATTCTTATCAGAAAAACAAACGTAACAGAACAATAGTGCATGTCACTGAAATTAGCAGAGGACTACCAATGGATTCCAAACTAACGCCAAATTCAAGATACGTTTAGCATGGGTATTTGACTTCATAGATTCAGTTTCCTAGAGAGGTTAGAAGCGATCAGTGCTAAAGAATTTAAGCCTATTTCGAAATATATGCCGTTAATCTCATGGTATTTAGTCGTCCGTTGGTTAAAGTCATCTGCAGAAGTCATAATAATCTCAGCAATGATATAACCTAGTTTGGAGGGCTATATTATCAATTAAATGTAGTCGTTTACAAGTATATATTCAATGTTGTATAGTGTTTTATTGAAAGTTCTAGTAAAGGGGCCATCATCCAACATACGATGGAGAGAAAATATGTAGTTTAAAATTTGGCACTTGAGGTCAATAATAAGAATAATAATTTACATTCACACACTTTGACAAATTAAAGTACATTTTTCTGGAATCTAATATACTTTATATTATATGGGTTAATTTACACATATACTAAGTTTATGATGAGAAATATTTTTAAAGTGATATTCTACTGGGTTCCTGTGACAGTTGCACGGAAGCTGATGCTGAATTAAGACAAAAGCGTCCAAAATAAAGTTGACAACCGAATTTTATATCATATTGCAGAATATCAACGGTTGGCTGAGATTTGATAATTTTAGTTTCTTGATTCGACATCTGTAGCCGATATTTATCAATATCAGATCAAAAAACATCAATCAACAAAATGAATTCTGTTCGTAAATTCTCATCATAGCTGTACAGTTATATAATAGTTTAAAGACATCGTGAATAGTGCCATGAGGAGTCGAAGGTTAACGTCAGTTAGTAACAAACATCAATGGACTATAAGTCGGAAGATAAAATTAAATAATTTAGAGGATAATTAACCAGTCTTACGTAACACAAATATCCAAACAGTATAATAAATAGAGCTCAGAAGTGCTTGCTTTTCTTAAGATGAGGTTGGAGAACAAGAATACTGTACAATAGAAAGCAAACAGGAATTGAATCAGTGGATTCGGACTGGTACAAAGGAAATTGAAGCGTTCCAAAGTTTGCGATCCATAACAAACGTTAGGAGAGAATAAAAGTTTCTCACTGTTTCCTTTAGTTTTACTGAATATGCAACTAAATTTACTATATGAAAACTGATCATACTTTAAACCTTATCAAATTATAATATGTTGGAAATACCCACTGGGATGTGAAGAGACAAGAAGTTCAAGCACTTTAGCGAAGAGCCTACTGGCTAAACTACAGCCATTTCGTTTTTTAAAAATTACGACTTACAAGTTAGAAATAATCAGTGAAAGTAGAGGCGTATATTAAATTGTAACCATGCAGCAGGGCTAAAAAGAGATGTTTTCATAATTTTAATGAAAATTATATGTGATATAATGTTATTGCAAGAACTCTCTAGTCCTTTATAAAATACACCCATGAAGTTTCGAAGGTTAAGCTAGCAATTGTGTCGTAAAGTTACTGTCATACTAAATGAGTAATTTGTACTTGACAATTATTTTAACCAATAAATATGCATTAGCTGTGCACTTCTTACGAATGCCTCAAAGGTACCGATGAATGGAATGGCAAAAGTAGAAAAAACATGTTCTAAAACACTTAGTCCTGATGTCCAAGATTCTGGAAAGAAGAAAAGAAAACGAATTTAGTGATCATTTGAAATAAGAAAATTACAGAATAAAAACAACTAGGGTAACCAACTAATGAATTTATTTGTCTTTCATTACTATCACGATGATGAAAACTTGTTTTATGGGGTCACTAGTAAGCATAAAACATTTACCTGAGGTTTCCTATTAGTGAAAGATGATTTCTCCACAGGAAAAAACGATGATTACAAGACGATGATTGCTGTGTAAAACAGTAAAATCTAAGAGAAGTAGCTTAAGAATTTATATTTGAATGCGTTATCAGTAAAACTTTTAAAAACGCTTTTACGTCTACATGTAATTACTTTGTGTCTATTTATTTTTAGTGAGACATGGTCAAGTGACAATAGATCAACATCCTTTTTTCGCCATTCATTTACTGCTACATCACCTGTTTTATTAAATGATAAGAGGAATATGTTATTTGAACAACCTCGTGGTCGAAGTGAAACAAGAAAAAATGCTGTGAATTCACGAAATTTAGTTCTTCCCAAAGAAATCCCACCAAGGTGTCAAAATTATTCGCCCACACGATGCCAACCTCATATACCACAGATAGATCGTACTGGATCATTTCACTGGGTACCGGATATGCCGTTAACAAGAGCTACGCTAGTGAGTGTTTGTGCATATAAACATGCATTTTTACGACAGTGCAAAGTTTCTGCATCAAAGTCTGTATTAAAACTAAATTAGGAAAAAGGTACTCCTTTACTTTTTATTTGAATCGATCTATGGAAATAAACCCAATAGTAGATAGCTAAGTTGGATTTCACAGCGTTTATTAAATCAAATTATATTCGAATTAATATACTTGCTAAGAAATGGATTGACATACAGATGTCAATGATAATATCAGAAAGATGAAGTAAAGTAAAACTCATAACCTCTATTCGAAATTCATACTTTACTATATAATGAGAAACTGACACCGTCACGTAAAGCATGGATTAGATTGACTAGGAAATATTTATAACTATCTAGTTGATGACCAAGTATAGGTTCAAGATTTTCTACTGCTATCCTCCAGTTATCTGACTTCAAAGTCTTTCTTATGTGGTGGAAATGCACTGTTAAACACTTATTTTTAGAACAGAGAAACTATTTAGTGCTAACTGATTCTCAATGAATTCCTTATCTATGAAAACAGTCATTGAGTCAATGCAATTTCTTAGCAGCCTGTAATATTTCCAATCTGAAAGTTGATGTTATTTGGTCCGAATGACTTAGTAGGTCATTATTCGTGAAAATCCGTATATGTTTAGTCGTTTGTTCATATAATACGCAAAGTTTCATGAATTATAATGATAATTGTTATGAACTATGGACAGACATGACTATGGGCAATAAATTATGTCCGAAGCGTAATCCAGTAAACAATACTGTTACACTGTGTGATAAATCTCATAAATCAAAAGAAATGGCATATACAAGTAGCTTGAAGAGCACTGAATTCATTTCAGTTAGCAAAAAGGAATCTTAACTTTTTAAAATATGACTGATGAACTACCCAAGATATTTGCATAAATGATCTTATGGTGATCTAATATGCTGGTAAAATTGTTAGCATAATTTAAACAGTCAAGTAAATTTTAACAGCAAGCGTTTTAGTTTGGTTTTCACTACTTAATAATATTAAGTAGTATGATTCAGTAAAGCCTAATTTGCAGAACTCATTTGAACCAGCTGTTAATGTGAAACTCAAGATAGGTTAGCAGTGATAAGTTGTTAATTGCTATTGAGTTATGTTTTAACGGCTTTCGTGAAAGCAAGTGGTGTAGCTAAAGTTTGAGTGAAACTCTAGATACCTTTTTACATTCTCCAGGGGCGAACTTTGAACGTTTTGCATAAAATAATAATGTTCAATAAATATTTCTTGTTGGAATGCATTGGCTTCTGTTAAGGCCTTTATATTCTTGAATTAATTTCAGAGCCCAAATCAAGCAGCTAGTCTAAATTTTAGCAAACATTTCCTAGTATGCGTCGCTGGAAAATCAACAAATGGCCCACTTAATTTGGAGAATTTTATCATGCCACTACGTTTCCACTGGCAGCATGTTCGCGATATTGTGATTCTTGGAGATAGCCATTTAATTGGTCCTTTAGAATGGGTGAAACTGAAAAACCTTCCCAGGATCTATATTGTTGATGTAAGTTGAAGTAAAAATGCTTTCAGCGATTTTAGGTATTGGATTGTTTTAAAAAGCATAGGCCGCTTGCAAGATACTGAGGGTAAAAATACTTTGAAAAAGCCTTAGCTTGAATAATACTTCTTATTCCCAGACCTAAAAATAACTTTGTTTGCTTTGTTTGATCTATTCAAAATGAATATGACGTTATTAAGAATGATAGCGTCTGTGTTTTATTATACAATGGTCTACTTTATCATGCTACAACGAAGTTAAAACAAGTAATCTGAGCTGCTCCCAAAAGAACAGAACACATTATTTCGCTAAGTGCATCGATCATTGCAGTGTTCACTAGCAGCATCTTTGGCGTTACTCAGTTATGTGTAGCCTATTGACTTCTAAAGCATCATTGTGGAACGTAACAGATATACTAAGTAAGAGTATAAAATGTTTACATGGAAGTTAGTGTCTCTGTAGCTTTTTTAATTGTTTCTGGTCACCTTAATTCAGAAGTTCATTACAGTAAGGTTGTAGTAGAAGAAAAGTGGTTAGGAAACATACAGTTCTACATGTGATGCTATAACAATAGAATTTTAGTTAGTAAGCTACTTGACGTTTGTTTTTACAGTAAATGATATACAACCCGATATGATGTGACAAAGTAGATCATATGTGAACCCTATGACATTTCTCGGGCGACCATGTATGGTGTTTCACATATTTCACTAATGTTTCCAACTCGATGTATTAGTTGGAACCTTAAAATCATCAGTAACTTTCAGGAGCCTTCAAACTACAGAGGCGGTAGAAATCAGGATTAAACAACTTGAGTTGTGTGTTCAAAGGAAGCAAGTGTTGTTACTACAATTACTGTGTCCCGATTCGGAACACACAAATTCCTTCACATCCTACCGAAGGTAATCTAATTTTCTAGTTCCATACTGTAGATACCCCTACTTCCCTATAATCTGAAATAATTTTAACAAACTCTCTTAAACTATTTTGTTCTCTTTGGGTTATTTCATCCAGTTGTTATAAACATCTTCCTATTGTTTTATTAAACTAACACCTTATAGTATTACATAAGCCTTATGATGATTTACGTAATCAATTAATTTGAATTGAATCTTTGCAACAACTGATTGCATCATAAACGGTCACACACTGCTTTTCTCAACTGAATTCTTCAACTGTATAATATCATTAACAAACTAATAAGCGGATTCTCTATATTGTTGACTCGTAGTTCCTTAATATGTACATATAACTGTGGAACCTGAAGAAGTTATCGGAAAGAATATTCTTTGGTCACTCAAATATACAAATTTCCGTAAAATGATTGCCGAATTCGTCTAATTATCCAAAGTAATGATTAAATGCCTTCCTAATGAATAAGCTCACACATACGTTACTCTCTTATACATATACTTCACACTAGGCAAACCAGCTCCTGTTCGGATGCCTCAATATTGCTGGTATTTTCAAATTTGATATTAATGTAAACAGAATCATCCACTAGAAGGCAGCTGGCAAGTCCTAAATAGATCGAAACCCGTGTCCTGGAATTCACTACGGGCCACCATCTATCATTAAAGTCAGCCTCATTCCATAGGTTTTTAACCCTTTTATAAATAAAATGCTTACTAAACAGTGACAGAACGCGTTAAATACAACCAATTGCTATTCGTGTCCATCATAAGTTCAACGCAGAAATTCGTGAATATGGTAGAAAATAGTTCACTACTCAGATTAAAACATGATATTTTTATTATGAACCTGAGACGTGTATGTATTTGTTGTCTACCAGGTTTTAGTCCTCACTGGGACAAAAATAAAACACCGATAGTGTTAATTGTATTCTTGTTCGATTATGAGATTTGATCTATGAAACCAACACATGTTTACTGACTAGCAGTATGAAGCCAATTGGTTAGGTGTATGACTTCAAAATTTTCCAATGACTTATGAATTGGGTATTACTCTGGTACTGATGATACAGGTAACTTTAGTAACACAGAAAATGTGATGAGTTTTGAAATATACTACTGAACTTGAGTAGTTAGGAGTCAATCATGCTGGATAGCAGATTTTTCTAAACCAAATACGAATTACCCTTTAGAAAAGAGTTCCTCAGTTGTACCTACAGACAAGTCCAGCTAACAGAGGAGTTGTATCCTACATGTCTAGCCATTCTGACCATTTTGACCTAAATGATTCATAACACCACAAAATGGATGATCACTTTGCAAATTATCTATAAATTGAAGTGTTTACTTTGAGATTTCTAGCAATAGCTCGAGTGTAATATCAACAGAGTTTCACGGAGAACTAGATTTTATCACCATTAAATCATGATAATGTGAACTAGACACTGAAAGAATTCAGGTTAGAACAGATTACTGAACAGAGGCAAGTATCCTAGTTCATTTTAAAAATTTTTGGCTATGGTATGTTATTTTAGTTCTTAGGTTATGTCAAGACCAAAACTTATCTGATTTATGGGTGAATATCTTTAATTCAGAACTTGTTATTCTCAAGATAGTATAGAATAATAAATACAATGACAGTTCTTTCAGTTCAACATGTAAGTGGCTTCAGTACTTGTGTCTGTTATCAGGAACCATAAGTTAGCTCGTTAAACTATGCAGAGGTTATGACATTCATCAAGAATGAGTTTCCAAAAAACCTTTCTTTTTGTACTGATGAAACAGAAATTCGCTCCTCAGGTCATCTACTTGTGATCAAAATGAATTTTCTCAAATAGTTTCGTAAAGACAAGATAAATGAGTCAGTGTGTTTTGCCATCTTGGTAACTGAATTCTAGCATAAAATCGTAAACAAGATTGGGTTCTAACTTATTCAAAGTAATTACTGTTTTATGATGATCGAAATTCCTAATGTACCAAGAACGCTTTAAGTGAAACAAGTAGGTTTGAAGAAAGTTACATCTAAATGCAGACTTTATCGACCAAATTTTTTATTACCTAAAAAATTTATTACTCTTTGAGTGTGGAATTTTAATAACCCTTTTTAACAGGGTGATCCATGCAGTTTCAATGATTTACACTCAGTTCATTTATGTCAGTGCAACGCCTGCGTAGTACTTGGCTACAGTGCGGAGGAACCTCATTCACAGTGCGTTGATGCAAGTTTGCAGGATAGAATTACGTTATTATGCGCCATGAATATTCGTTCATTGCTACAAAAAGAACAACATTTGGTTCATTTAACAACCGAATTAAGTATGTCACCCACTTATATTTGTAATTTTCTCCTGATCATTTCTTCAAATATGTTTATCAAACATCATTTAAGATGATTAGTCAATTGAATTATAATTTAACTCATTACAAAATTATAGACTGGGAAAATTCTCACTGTCATCACGTATGTTCTGATAACACTACTATTGAAATCACCTGTCTTAGAAAACAGATAAAAGGGGTAAAACGTTATGTGCTTCTGTGTCTCAAGTACTTGATTTCTCAGGTTACCCTTAGAGAGCAGGTAAATTATTCTGCTAGGTATGGTAAAACAGAACTATTCATAATGTACTATTCTGCATACAACATTTTGAATTCAGTTAAATATGTTGCAGGTGTAATTACAATTATAAAGTAATAAAAAGAATTCAGCTTGAACATAAATGGTTAATCCAACGAAGCCAAGACGGTATTGAATTAATTTATCTTAAACTGTTTATTACATTCAACATATCACTTCCTCTTTGCGAGTAACTATAAAGACCGCTGTAGCAACTTCTGAAACCACAATTAGATTTCTTTACTTTATTGAAAAACCATCTTTCTGGTCAAAATAGAGGTACCTGGTTGATGATTTCAGTGATTGGTAAAGTGATATTTGGATCACTTCTTTATAGATAATGCTGAGGTTATACTTCGGGTTAATCTAAAGGGCACCTTGTAAACAACTGGAATCATCAGCTAGACTTCCCTATTTTATGAAAATCAGCCTTTCCAGAAGGAAGAGAAAATCCACTTGGTTACTTAAGGAATGACTTTCAAGGCCACCCTAGCAACAACTGAAATAGCTAATTAAACTTTATTTTATGAAAATCTGCCTTTCCAGACAAAATGAAGAATCCTAATTGGTTATTTCGATCGTTCCTAGGGTGGCTTTTAAAACCATCTTTGTTGAAGTCGTTGCTAGGACGGCCCTTAGTAGTTCCTTTTTTGCTACTCATTCAAAATTAACGCTTTCTAGGCTTTTCTATATAGATTGAGAATAGTGCTAACAAATAACCATTTGATGCAACCTATGTTTTCATATTATTTTTTGAAATACTTTGTATTTTTCAGACTATGAGAAGAACGCTTACTTGTTCAGCTCAGGTGATACACATGAAAATGACTATAAACTTCCAGTATGGTTTAGTGAACCTTTTGCGAGAGGCATAATTTTTAGTAACACTTTGTTGTATAGCTGTTTAAGTTCCGTAAGTAATTAAATGTTGTGAAACTAAAATTTTATAAAATTAAACTAGAAGCATTTGCAATTAGTTAGAGACATGTGTTGGTGATCTGTGACAAAACAGCCACCAGCAGCAAGTACGGTCAAGTTAAGCAAACTTTGAGAATGTGTTTGTGTTCAACTCTTCTTTTGTCATATATGAATTCTGCCCAGTAGTGTTTCTTTAGAACTATCAAATAGGTGAAGTCTAAAACTTTCATATTTATCACCCTGAAACCATTATATTTGAATTTAGTCAGTTAGTGGAACAATGCAATATATCTCCAACCTTCAGATTCTTGTTCATACAAAGTAAGTAGTGATTTCTAACCAAATTATCACTGAAGGAAGTAAAAATGCCAACAGATGAATTGAATAGGGTGGTTCAATTGATTCTCATAATCACTAAGAGACCAAGTTGCGCAAGTCATTATATAACTAGATATGTTATTTTTAAATCTTGGCTTAATCACTGACTTATATTTCTATGTCAATTCTGACAGGTGACACTAATGAATTTTATAATATGGCCATGGGTATTACATGCTACCTGCTAACGTAGGGTTCCACAGATTTTAACAGCAAGACGTTTTTAAGCCGTCAACTAGTAGCTGGATTTACTTCTGAAATACATTAATGTCGTCGCTAGTGGGATCTCATGTCCAAGATCCTAGAGTCAATGGTTAACCGACGCCTAACTATGGTTCGAGATCGGAGAACTCAAAAAAATCACACAAGTTTCAGATTTTAGCCCTTCAGGAGATCTTGGAAAACAGATGAACCTAGTCGTAGCTGATGATTACCATATTTCTTGACCTGAAGGAAGAATCTAACTTTGTCAACCAAGACATGTTGTGGCAGTGTCTGACTGTGAAGAGAGTACCAGACAGTTAAGTGTCACTAATCAAACTTTTCTACTCAAGCTTGTACAGCTGTTTAAGAGTTTAAAGGGAGTTTTTATCTGGATTGATAACAACCAGTATTGTAAGCCACGGATGCTCACCGTCACTGTTCTTCTTTAACTTTGTCATACACGTACCTAGGGTCATTTCCCTAGATACCTGCCATTTCACAGAGATTAACTTACTCCCATGAGGACATCTAGATGACTTGGAGCATGTGGACGACGGCGTCTTGTCAAGCAAAGAAACTCACAAAATCCAAAGTCTTTGGAATGCCTTGAGTAGGAATCCGAATATATTTCCTATACACTTTACCTCTGTCGAACGTAAGTTGATACGTTAGGACTGGTCTGCAACTACCCGGTTTTAGGATAAGGAGTGAAGTGGTAGAATGCATCAATAGCCTCATTTCTTGAAGTGTAACAGTTCGAGCGGGCTGGTGAAATCCCAATTTGGATACAGAAACCCTATTTAGCATTTGTCAGTTTTTGCGTAATCTCTAGCACCCAGTGGTGTTAAAGAACAAGTATGCTGCACTGCAGTCCATTCCGTTTCGCTACAGAGCTGCAAGACGTAGCTGTTGAAAGTAGAGGAAATGAAGAGATTAGAGGTTTGCAAATACAAGTGTTTTCATAGCATAGCTCATGTGTAATGGAATCGACATGTGAGCAATATTGAGGTTAATTGAAAGGTACTAGGTAAGGCAAATAAGTCAGTGAAGGAGATTGAGAACCTTGACCGACTGTGGTGGCTTGGACATGTGTTGTGTGTGCCGATTCACCGCCTACCTCGAAGTGAAATGCTGAGAGTTGGTTTACTTTGGGAGGAGGCTCAGGGTAATCAGACCAAGAAGTGTGAACAGTTCATGCAGTCTCTGACTGTTGGTCTCAGCCATGTAGGGAGGTGTAGACTGCCTGCTTGGGGTCATTGTGACGATAGAAATCAATGTTTGGAGACCCTCAGTGACAGTTCAGAAAATCTATCGCAGTGACGCAGACGCACTCACTTTTGACCTCCTCTAAAACTTGAATATTGGTCATTTCCTTTCCAGTTGTTCTTTGCAAACTTCTGTTAAGTGTGGTAATATGAAACGATTTACATGTATGCGAGGTTTTACGTTGCTTTTGTTTGTCTCCATACACCAGTAGTTCATATTGTTCTGTTACCGTGATGACACACATAGGATAACCTAATTGTTGACTGGCTGGTTAATAATCGATAAGTTTGAAATGCATTACGCTTTTCTAATAATGTTGCATATGATGAACGTGTAGATTTTTTGATATTAAGTTGACACTAATCAGTCTATAAATCTAGACAGTAAATGTGACTCATTGCACAGAGAACAGCATGGTCTATGGATAAAGCTTCTCAAACAACACATAGAATAAACTTGTTTTGCTAGACTAACATTATCTTAGAAAAAGATAACGGAATGTATATGATATTGAATTAGTTTTGGGGTAAAGAATCTTGACTCGTAACTCATGAAACATTAAGTCCACAAAAACGGAAGTATAAAAAGAAACCTACAAGTTTGCAGAAAGTAGAAAGACACACTAATCAATATTCTGAAAATTAACTATTTGGCAACAGATTAAACTTTTTATGTTGTACTCGAATTTCATCTCAATCACTTTTGATGTAATCTATGAAGGGTTATTTGTGGAGGCATGGAAGTCCATTTTTCCAGTTTTCTATGCGTATAGAAATAATCACTCAAAATTTCCAACTTAGTTAACACTCATATGCATACTGTTAAAGAGATTATGAATTAGGTTTTGTCTCATTCTCATATCATAATTTGCTTTCATGTGCATAAGTAACTGATCTGTCATCTTGCACAACGCATATCTACCATATTCTTCTTATACATTTGGATGAATATGGCAGATTTATATGTGTTCCAGTTCATTGAACCTATTATTGGTGAAGTTCAGTGAATAGGTCATTTGAATATGTCATTGTCTGTTAATTATTTTCAACTACAGGAAAACTATCTGATTCCCTGCAGATCTTCAATTTTCGACAATGAGAATCTTTGGGTATGGAAGATGGTCAGTGACGTCTGGCAGAAATGTAAAGAATGAAACTCACTAGACCGAAGTGATAAAAGTTTACGGTCTGTTAGCTCCAGTTACTTCCTTATTAAACCCACTTGATTAACCTGTGTTGACACAGTTTCTTTGAGAAGACTGCTCAGTAACAACTTTGATGTCGATCAGTATTCACTGAATAGAGGGTGATTATGGAAGTGCACTTATTCAATAGAAAGTACGCTGATGCTTTTAGTCATCATTCTGTAGTGTTTTATTCAATAGCTAATGTAAACAAAACAAACTGATTTGCTCTAAGTATTATTCTCATTGTTTCCAAATGCCAACTACGTCGCCTGAATTTAACTACAAGCCACCTCCCAGTGTTATCGGAAATATCAGAGTTTAGTTTCCTAACTGATTATTTGTAATCATAATTTAGGGAAGAAAAATACATGGGAGACAGAGGAGAAAAACACTAAGAAGACATCTATGGAGATGTATGTTAACTGAATTGGTTGTAATTTTTATAGAAACTTTTAAAAGAATAGCTTGTTGATTCATCGGTACAAAATTATGCTTTCTTCCCATAGTTCTTTTACAACGATAATGTTTTCCGTTTTCTTCGAGTTTTAATTTCTGGACAATCAACCGACGAACTGGAAGCATCATTTTCTGTTGGAGCAGGTAAGACAGATAAGGGAAATAATAACAAGGATTGAAATTTACCAAACTTTAATAATATGGAAAAAGTTACATGTTCTAATGAAGAAGTAACTTAACCCTTCTATCAAGGTTACAATGAATAATACTGTAGTTTGTTATCTTGCCTTTTTGGTAACTTAACATTCTCCCTCTTTTTGATGGAAAAATTTTAAATGGTTCTGTGGCTTAGTGGATAACGCTTTGGCATTCGAAAGGATGGATACTGGGCTCGAGTTCCATTGGGAACAACATAACTCACTGGGATGCAAGTACATCCGACTGACAGGTAACAAATAGGACGAAACGTGCGTTCTGCATTCCACTGATAACCACTAAGTAGACTACATTAAAACAGTTCAGTCTGTTTATAGTTACAGCTGAGATTCTAACTGTTACACTGCTACTTAAGATGAAATATTTATGACCAGCAAAAGTTCTCTGCGTACAGCAATTTCAGATTTATTTTTGAAGGTTTGAATATTCACAGTGAACCAACAAGTAACAGAAACTGTTCTCTGTGGACAGTGAGATGGCGCCTTCAGAAAAATAATAACCCCGGAATAATCGGATAACTACTTGTGACGGACTGGGTCAAGATAGCATGTGAACGGATTGAAATGGTTTGTCAGCCGGATTGCTAGTACTAATTTTGCGTATTGGTATTTCGTAAACAGACAACTTTATTGTTAATGAATGTATTTTAAAGACTAAGTACACTACTCACTCATGACATCAGGGTATAAATATCAATAACAATACAACTGTTTTTACCAATGGAAACATCGTAAAACTAATGTTTTCCTTAGCATGAGACAATTGTCTGACAAAATCAACGTAGAACCTCGCACATAGTTGCATCAGCTCAAGTTGCCACACTTCACGGAAGTACACAAAGAACAAGTGAATAGAAAAAGAGTGATATCAAAGTAGATAAAGTAGTGTGAAAGAATAAACAGTTTAAAGATACAGGTTAGTATGAATAATCAAGCTTTAGATGTCAAGGAGTAAATACATCTGAGCCATTGTGACCAATTTTCAGCCATGTCACCAAGTGTCTTTAACCACTGATTCTTTCATCTAGAGGACCCCAACCAGGCAGTCTACATTTCCATGCACGGTTCAAGCCAACAGTAAGGGACTTCATCAATTGGTGCCACAGTGAACCCTTTTTAATCCCAGTCCAACTTCCTCTAGCATAGCACGTTGAGGTAGGTGGTGGCTTGGTATGCAAAGTAAACATGCAAGCCATCTCAGTCGACTAACCTTCACAACTTCTTTAATCGGTTTGCCTGTCTTGGCAAGAGAAAGTATGTGAAAGTATTTAGCTGTAGTGAGCGTTACTCATAAAAATGTATATAGATAGTTAAAAGCAGAATAGCGGAAGTGATATGAATTGACTGGTGAAGATATAGGAAGGAAAAAACAATATCGAATAAGAATTTAGAGGGCAAAATCACTGAGATGCCGAACAAAAAGAATGTTTGTAAATAGAATTTTATTGTAAAGTTCGATAGTTTTATTATTACTGGTTGTAATTTGCCAAGAAACAAGCTCCATTAAACTTCTGACTACAGCTAGTCAACATACTGTCACTTCTGATTTTAATGGGTTGACACTTGTCTACACCCTACTTTAGAACAGAAGCTAAACGGTCATTTCACTATGCACAGTATTTTGGTTTATTTCACAGATAAATATTAGTTTCGTTGGAGTTAAAAGTTAGCTTTAAGATGAATAAAATTGAATCTCAGTTCCTTGATAGATACTCAGCCATTAACTAAGATCAAAAGGAAGGATAAGAGAAGTGATGTATTTATTATCACCAAAGGTGATCTCAATTTTATTTTGAAGTAGAAGTGGGTTTACATTAGACCTACTGACCAACTCTTTTTTTAAAGTTCGACTGGTCTATGTTGTGGAAAAAGCCGAGAGTAGTTCCATCATGTGTAGACCATTTTTTCGGTCACAGTCTTTTTTGGTTTGATGGCAGCATGCTAAATAGTTGAACGTAGTTAGCTAAAACTTGTTTCAAACATTATCGTTTGGTTGAAGAATGAAATCACAGGCATTTTCACCCATATGAAAACATTTCTAGCCAAGAGATTTGATGTATGAAAATTAAAAGTATCCTAATGTACCAAAATATACTACCGAACAACTTGCGTAGTTAGAAACCACTTATGCTGATCTATAGATTTCTCCAGCCAGATCAGAGTGATCTAAGCACCGGGAGAGCGTTTCACTCACATGGGTTCAGGCTCATCAGCCAAACCAATTTAGCTCGTAGAGTGGAACTACCTTAGTTCACTTAAATCTGGTTAGCTGTCTTTCACTGACCAATATGCTTAAAAATAGGATAATCAATTTTCAAATTATTTAAAGATCAGCCTGAGTAGTTTCTAACTCCTAGAGCTGTTCAGTAGTTTATTTCGCTGGTTCACCACACCTTGTGATCTTAGTTAGATGATTTCCAATGGAAACCCTGTTAACACCATGGTTGGAAAAACTATTCAGCTGGGAGAAAAGGAAACGTGGATCGTGCAATCTGTACATCATTTGCTAACCGACAATCCTATTTTAGCCTAATTTAGTTGCAACTGATCAAATCAATGTATAATTGCTTGTTATTTTATGTCTAATTTTGTAGACAACTGACTGGACAGTATGGTATTCTTATGTAATTAGTAGTGTCTTAGCGTATATGTAGGCGATTGCAAGTGAAAGTACGAAATAATAATCAAACGATGGATTTAAGGAAACCCATGTATATTGGTACTCGAATAGTCCTTAACTGAGAAATTCAACTTAATTACAGTTATACTGGTTGCTAAACAAAACGTCTCCATGAAGAGACTTTCGTCACTGACAACAGAAACTGTTCAGTGTTTATTTCCATAAAAAAGCTGCTGTTTCGATATTTTCATGCTAATTACATTAGTACCTCTTAACGCAGTTTTATCGGAAAACTGACAACCTTGAAAAAAGACTAGAATAGGTAGTACTTTTATTTTCTGATATTTTCCCTAACCTCGCCTGGTTAACTAGTTTACTAGTTACTAGCCGGTCCTAAGCCCGGGTAAAGAGGGAAGGTTGGGCATAGGGCTAGCAACCCTACCCCGTAAAACAAATCTAACCGCTAAAGAAACTTCAAAGCACAAACAAAATATAAAAAATGAAAACAAACTTATTCCCCGCTGGAATCGGAGAGGCGAAATGACGCCAGTTGGTGAAAGCCTTCGGGAAGCCAATTGGCCGATGTGTCTTCTCTCGATGAAAGCGAAAGTAAACGTGGGGACATGGAATGTCCGCACGATGTTTGAACCCAGTAAGGCAGCCCAGATTGCAAAGGAGATGAGAAGGTATAACATCGAAGTGCTTGGGATTTGCGAAAGCAGATGGAATGGGAGTGGACTCTCCAAACTGTCAACTGGAGAATCAATAATCTACTCCGGTCACCCAGACGCCAACCACGAGCACACTGAGGGAGTGGCTATCATGATGTCCTCAAGAGCATCGAAGGCTCTCATGCAGTGGGAACCAATCTCCTCCAGGATCATGACAGCAAGATTCAACTCAAAAGGAAGAAAGGTCACAATCATACAATGTTATGCACCTACAAATAATGCAGAGCAAGAGAAAAAGGAGGATTTCTACAGACAACTTCAATCAACACTGGACAAGACGTCAGTTGGCGATATCAAAATTCTAATGGGCGACATGAATGCCAAACTGGGAGGGGACAACACGGGAAGAGAACTAACCATGGGTCGAGAGGCGCTAGGTGAAATGAATGAGAATGGAGAATTGTTTGCAGAATTCTGTGCATTCAACGATTTGGTGATTGGAGGCAGTGTGTTCAGGCACAAAGATATCCACAAAGCGACATGGATTTCACCAGATGGACACACTAAAAATCAAATCGACTTTATCTCAATCTCAAGAAAATGGAGACGCAGTCTACTTAACACAAGGTCAAGAAGAGGAGCAGATGTAGGTTCAGACCACTATCTAGTGCAAGGAACCTTCCAAATCAAGTTAAAAGCCTTCAAGGAAGCTGGTGATAGACCTCAATTCAAGTACAACACTCGGAAACTGAAGGATGAAACTACAAAGGAGATCTTCAAGGCAGCCATCAAGACAAAATGGGAGACATCGAGCAACATCCCTGAAGAAACCTGTGTGGAAGAACACTGGAAGTCTTTGAAAGCTATGTGGAAAGAAACCTGCACAACAGTATTAGGAAGGAAGAAGAAAGAAGACAAGGAATGGATCTCGACGGATACCTGGAAGCTGATAGAGGAGAGGAGGATGGTGAAGCAGAAGATAAACCAGTGCAAGGATGCTCAACGACAAGAGGAACTGAGCACAATGTATAAAACACTGGACAAAGAAGTGAAGAAGAGTGCACGCAAAGACAAAAGACACTTCTACGAACACTGGCAAGTGAAGCAGAACAGGCTGCAGGTAAGAGAGAGACCTGACGACATTGTATCAAATAACCAGGTTGCTATCAGGGAAGAGACCAACACAGATGAAACCAATAAAAGATGAAGAAGGAAATTTAATTACAAAAGAAGAGAAACAGAGGAAACGATGGGCCGACCACTTCAAGAAGCTCTTGAATCGACCACCACCTGCACTTCGTCCAGAAATACCACCTGCAGCCGCTGAACTACAAGTGAACATTAATCCCCCAACGAAAATGGAAGTCCTGAACGCCATAAAGCTACTGAAATGCGGGAAAGCAGCAGGACCAGATGGAATACCGCCAGAAGCACTGAGAACAGATGCAGAGACAACAGCGGACATGCTCACACCACACCTATTGCAGAAGGTGTGGAAGGAAGAGAAGGTACCTGCCATGATTGGAAGAAGGGTTACCTTGTCAAACTGCCGAAGAAGGGAGACCTCAGTGCTTGCAAGAACTGGCGCGGAATCACTCTCCTGTCCACCCCAAGTAAAATATTAAGCCGCATCATCCTAGAGAGGCTTAAAGACGCACTGGATTCAAAACTGCGACCGGAACAGGCAGGCTTCAGGAAGTACAAATCATGTGCAGACCAAATTGCAACGCTACACTACGCATCATCATAGAACAGAGCATAGAATGGCAATCAGCTCTCCACCTCAACTTCATCGACTTTGAGAAGGCCTTAGACAGCGTCGACCGAGAAGTAATTTGGAAACTGCTTCAATACTACGGAGTACCGCGAACCTTTATCCGCCTCATTCAACAACTATATGAAGATGCCACATGCCAAGTAATCCACAATGGGAAGCTCAGTGATGCCTTTGAAGTGAAGACAGGAGTGAAACAAGGTTGCCTACTATCCCCCATGATATTCCTTATTGTGGTGGACTGGATCATGCAGCAAACAGTAGGCAGCGAGAAAAGGGGGATACACTGGACTGCGGAAAAGAACCTAGAAGACTTGGATTTCGCCGATGACTTGTGCCTAATGTCACATAAACTTGAAGATCTGCAGGCAAAAACTAACAAGTTGATAGAAGAGGCAGCGAAGACGGGACTTCAGGTGAATATAGAGAAGACAGAAGTGATGAAGATACCGCACCACCACCATCAACAACAACAACAAACTCCAATCACCGTCAACGGGAGAAACTTGAAGGAAGTAACCTCCTTCACTTATCTAGGAAGCACTGTTTCAACTACAGGCGGGACGGACGAGGACGTCAAAGTCAGAATCGGAAAGACAGCAAGACAGGCGTTCATTAGCCTGAAACCAGTGTGGAGACCTTCTGCACTCAGCATGCGGAACAAGATACGGATTTTCAACACCAACGTCAAGTCAGTGCTCCTGTATGGTTCAGAGACTTGGCGCGTCACGAAAGGCATTTCCAATAAACTACAGACATTCATCAACAACTGCTTACGCTCGCTGCTGATGATCAGATGGCCAGAAAAAATAAGCAACAAGGAACTCTGGGAACGAACCAACCAAGAACCTATCACGCAACAAATATGCAGGAAGAAGTGGAGATGGATTGGGCATGCACTGAGAAGGCCGACTGAGGACATCACGCGTCAGGCCAGTTGCTCGAGTGGAATCCCCATGGGAAGCGACGAGTTGGACGTCCGAGGGTGACATGGAGGAGGTGGTGCGAGCAGGAAATGAGAGCTTCTGGGCTGTCGTGGGACCAGGTTCAAAAGATCTCAGAGAACAGAGTTCACTGGAGGCGTGCTACTGAAGCCCTATGTTCCACTAGGAACCCAAGGGACTAATAATAAAAAAAATAATAATAATAATCAATTTACTTTCCATTCAACTCAATAATACTCCTAGAAATTGTTGTAGGTCTCTGGATAACCGCAGTTTAAAAAAATAAGATTCTTCATAGCAACCTGGATTTTTAACGAATTTAGAACGCTTATTTGAATCAATTGACAATGCAATAGTTTTGAAATAGGATGTGGAAATAGTAAAATGTTGTCCAATTTTACGCATTTTTCACTTCACGTTCAAGCATAACAGTCTGCCAAACCACAGCTGTCTCAAATAGTCCTAATTTTCTAATAAGAATTGTAAGTTTTTTTCATTTTCCTTCGTTTCTCCAATAAAACAGGTCTACAGCAAGGTACAGCATGTCAGCCAACTCGCATGGCTGGAGTAAAAGTCTCCTTGCGTGGATTTCACCATGCCCCATTCAAATTCTTGGCTAGAGAACCACGTCGAGTAAGTGTCCTGAGAAGAGCAAATATTTTAGTCCTAATAAGCCATATTACATACAATTAGATCACTTATTTTCTTTCGTTTATCAGCTTCGCTCTGATTCATCCCGCAAATTAAAGAACTGAAGATAAGTAAATTGATATGGACAAACCTGATATATATATATATATATATATATATATATATATATATATATATATATATATATATATATATATATATATATATATATATATAAAATAAGGAATGAAATAGGGTGAAGCTGATAAACTGAGGAAAGCAAGTAGTCCATTTCTGATTTCACAACAAACACCAAACAATATCCATGATCCAAAAGTGTTCGAATAAAGTCAACTCCTGTTATAACTGAAATGTTTTGTATTAAAGATCCAGAACAAAATTGGTCACTGGTGATCTCTCAGTCAATGAACTACTTTCTAACTGCAAAAAAATGTTAGACTAGATAAACTACACAGCCTACGCATGTAACATTCCTAATGATTTGATGATACTTCCACCTAACTGACCACCTCTCAGATTTGATTATTCTATGAACTTTTTGGTGTAAAACTTCATGGCTGTTTAGATGACAATGGTTCACTTGTCTTGCTGGTAAATTTTAATCTGCCTTTATGGAGTTCTAGTTAAATAAGACGGACTTATCAGTCAGTATGGAAAAAACAGTGAGTGCTGTTAGAGCATTACGAAAGTTCGACATGCCGCTTCACTTTCAGTGGCTAGTTCTTACTACTATCTTTCTTCACTTATCCTAGCTATACTATGAAGTCGGTGTTTATCGGTGGATAAGTATTTCCCTGTGAACTTATTGTTGTTTCTATTCTTTTAACTACCATTCACACTGAGATTTTATGTTCGGGTTTCTACATTGCATAAAGACATCATCTTATTCATTTGTCAGGTCAAATGTTCATCCTAAGGTTTACAAAAAAATAACCTAGGCTGCAGGAGATAATTCTTAAGATTAAATTCAAGTTATACCTTGATGCTGTCAAGTCGTAATTAAAACAAATCGTTCACCTGCAGTGATGACTTATATTTTCTTCATTCATGGTGCTTTTTATCATCGCTTTATAACCATGATGAAATCGTTTAAGGTCTTCACATTCTTATGCGGTCGACAATTGTTTGGGAATACTGTATCGTGAAGTTGTGATGGGTTAATAGTGAATTCATAATCAATGTCGAATGATAACACTGGTTATTGACTTACAGTAAGTTACACATTTAAAGAAAGTTTAGTTAGAAAGTATGCATTGTGTCAGTGGACCAAAAAGCCTAGTAGTTTTCACCTAAGCCATTAATGTGTTTGTGTGTGCGTTCAAGTAGTGAATAGAAGCATGCATTAAAATTGATGGGGTGTAGTTCAAAAAGAACTTTCTCTTAGATGAATCATTTTGAAGGAATGCTTTAACAGTTGCAATATTTACAGTTACACAGGCTTTGAAAACGACCCATCCAAAGGAAAAGTCTTTTCTTTGCTTCCATCATTTTCAAAGACTCCCTCATTTCTCATCTCCTGCTTATCTTTTCGCATTTATATTGAGGATTCATTTATTCACTACCCTCATCCTTCTGTAATTTTTGGAATACTTGTCCGGATTACCATGCTATCTTGCAATATTCGTTTCATCCGGTATTTCACCACTAGTATTGTTATTGTTATCTACATCATCAGTGTCATTCTGTCATTGACTAACAATCTCATCGTTATCATTTTTTTATTTCGCAAACATGTCTTATCCTGGTGGTACCTTTTCCCGATAGAAAACTTAATAGGTTATATCTGCTACAAATAAAGTAGTTTCAGAACTCTGTGACGTAAAAACTGTCTACTTGCTTAACATTAAACATTCCAGAAACCAATGACTTTTAAAGAAGTGTATATGCGCTGCTTAACATGTTGGCAAATTCTCTGTCTTGGGCTGTATAGATGGCAAGAACATGGATTTCGTTATGTCATTGCTAATCCAATGCCAGAAACTCAAATTTATGAAAATGATATGGTAAGCTCAAAATTTTTGCTACAGCAATTCCATATAAGTGTAAATGTTCACTTTTAAGATGTTATCGACCTAAACATATGCCATATCATCATTCTTTTAAAAGATATACTGAGTTTAATAGCTATCAACTGCATAATTATATATCACTTACCTCTCGACATTACTAAATTTTTGGAAACTCAAAGAGCAGCTGGTTGATTGAACAATTGCAATTACAGCCAATTAGCAAGAGTACCACAAAAACCTTGGAGACTTTGGTTCACAGTTAGAGACTTATGAATTAAAATTTACTACTGAGTAGTGAGAAACCACTCCGGCTGATCCGTAGAGCTCACTAAGTCAGAGTAATCTTCATTTTGAATCAGCGGAAATCAGTGGAAAATATCATGTACCGTGGTACAAAGATTTCTTCGTAGAATAGGTTAGCTGCTCAAAACGATGTAATGCATACCAAGATGTGTTTTTTTCATTTATATTGGTACCGCATGAAGGTTCGGTTCTACTGTTATCAAGACAGAAGATCCAATGATCACACTAAGAAACATGAACACTAATTGGTCATAAGCGTCAAAAAGAACTTTGATTAATTGCACCCATTCTATGAAGCAAACATGACCACCTGAAGAAATAACTGACCAGCACATGTGCTCGAACTTCAAGAGTTGAGTTTGTAGTCCACATTAAAAATCCACCTCAAAAAAGTACTTGTAATTTATAGATACATCAAACACTGTCAACATATTTACTACTGTATTATGAAGGATACCATTTGGCTGGTTTTACAACGATTTACATAACGAATTGCATATAAGGATAGAAATGTTGCAACTTTTATCGACGTATATGCTAATTATTTTCAGAAATGCATACATTCTAAGCATTCATAGTAACCGGATTTGCAAGCCACTGCCCTCTATAATTGTTAAGATGGAAATGATGTTAAGGTTCCTGCAAGTATGAACTTGAAAAAAATCATTTTCATATGACTACTCATTCATTTATCAGTTCCCAGATCAGTAAAGTAACTATCATAGCACAACAAAATCCGTTTACTTCACGATTGACAATCTTATCGATATGCTATAACTGGCAATTAGTTTATCAAACAGGAAAGATTCAGTATAAGCTTCACCATTATTAAATCAACAGATGGAAATCGAAAAGGAGCAGGATAGTGATGACAACTACAAATTACTGTGAACTTAGTATCAAAGTTCCCATAGTACCATAAAGATAACATGCTTATTCACATAGGTTAACGGTTTACTAATTTGACACTATTGTAGTAAAAAGGTCTTCCTTACTTATGCTTAAAGTAGTTTAAGATGATAAACAAAATGTTTCTGAAGGCTTCACAATAAACAGTGTCAATCCAGAGAACACTTCAATAGGATCTTTTGCAACTTGCGATACAGATATTCACCAAGTTTTCTATAAAAAGCTGAATAAGGTATATGATATCCGTTGTTTGGTAGGAAAGACAGAAAAAACCTAATATACAATACACAGCAAAGTTATAACATGTAGTGATCACTGAATTAATCGATTAACATAACTGAGTCAGCTTACTGAAGAGTGAATGGTACAAACTTTTATTACCGTTTGGTGATCATCTCATATTCCGCATATTCTATCAACGGATATTTCACAAATATTCTTATTTCTCATTTCGCACAGTTTTCATCTTCATCATTACATTGGAAGTTTTCACCTCATTTTCTTCTTGTTCTAGTTTTACTGTTTCATGCCAATCGACCAAGATGATACAAATAAAAATTGGAAATTTTCAGAAGTTCAACAACCCCAGCCATGTGAAAGTACATAGAAATATTTCGCCTGATAATATAACAATATTTACACGGGAGAAGGAGAGAGAGTTTTTTTTGCCATTCTTGCTATTCAATGACAGTTGGCATTTTTTTATCTATTCAAATTAACTAATTGATAACAGCATGATCTGAACACATATTTTAAAGATAATTGTTTACAAGTGAAGTGATACCACAATTCTGGAACATTTGAAGGTCGACTTATTTTTGTTTGTAAATGAAAAGCATATACATGTTTACCTATGGAAATTCGTTCACTCACCTTACAGATGTTTCTTTTGTATTTCAGTAGGAACTTTTCATAAGATAAAATACAACTTACAGGAATAATGTTACATTTGTAGGCCTGAATATGAGTCAAATTAGGCTGAATAGATATGTTACATGATCCTCGGAAAACCGAAGTTTCACTGCTATATTCACACCACTGGATCGATTGGTTCTTATGTTTATTTCAGTTCATTTTTTGCAGTGCCTGAGCACTAAAGTTGTGTAGAGGCTGGGTCTCAGTGAGAGGACTAAAACCCAACTAATGTATACATCCAACTAAGGAATCATACACTGGAAGAAACAAATTGTATATCGCACTAACAACTAAAATCAGGTTACATATAGCACACAGGTTACACAAATAAAGTTTGTATACGTAAGTCCATCCTATTAATTTCGCATTACGAAACAAAACAGTATTTATCTGGTCAACTTCGTGTATAAAGTAAAAAAATAGAAATTATAACTCATCCCACGTAACACATAGTAAATGAATCAGTAAATTAAAGCAACCCCATAGAACTTTATACGCTGAGCTGAGCAACGTACCTACTATACGTAGACTGACTATGTTACTCAAGGTATCAAGTCGAACTAATTAGGGTGAATTTGATAAGGGAATGTTGTGATTATAATTTATGCCTACAGCACTAAACTGTAGTTCAAACTCTTTACAGTGGCCCTGTAGATGAAGCTAAGCTCTAAAGTTTACTTCGTCATTTATGAGACTTCTGTGGTAATATTTTGAAAGCTTAACTAAAGCAGTCTTAAGGCAAGCTAAAACACTGGCAGGAAAATACTAGACCTGTTCTATCTCAACATTTCAAGAGCTAATAATTTGCATGATTCTCAGTATTCTGACAAGTTTCAATACGAATATCCATTCACACAATATATAGTCAGTACATTAGGTTGTAATAATAATAATAATAATAATATGAGTAGTAACTTGATCAAAATTAACTTCACAGAGATGCACCATGAAGTTTACTGGAAGATATATTAGTATAGTGACATACGTATCTAAAATATTTGAAATTACAATAAAGCCAACTGGCGGACGAGAATCACACGAGATTTTCTAAACTAATGAGATCAAAACAGAATGGCTAAATTGCAATTAAAAATACTTAGCATATGGGGGAAGCTTGCTTTAATGCAAGAGAAATGTGCCTCCCGTACCACAACACAAAAAGGAATTGACAGTGGCCTATATAACGCAAAAGATAAACGTTCATCAATTACCAAGTACTTATAATAGTAGTAATAATAATAACAATGTACCGTACTTCCTGCTTCTCAGTATCTACTGCGTTTTCTCCATGACGGACACGGGATTCCACAGTACGCTATTTCGAATTCATTATCGATTGGTTAGAGGCACTGGATAGAAAACCCTGGGATAGAGTTCAACAGCTGCTACCATCCAAAAGCAAAACATTTCGACAAACCCACTGAAGTTAAAATTTCCTCAGAAATTCAAACCTCTATGACAATAAGTTCATGAATAAGCTAAAATGATATGCGACTAACCAGCGAATCAAAGTGATCGACAGCTGGTGTTATAAACACTTGCTACCGGTTCGATAAACTGTCAAGCATTTCCTTGTTATGCAAACGAAGCACATATGCGTACAGCGGTAAAAGTGAATCGAAAGGTTACTCTAGCAACTATTAAAATAACCAATTGGGCTTCCTTCCTTTTTAAATCACTATCTCAGCAGTCGTAATAAGGATATTTGGGTGGCCTCTGGGGTCACTAAAAAACACAGTGATTACTTTAGTATTGAAAACATGACCAGAAAATGTACATCCTTTCGATATATCCGATAGACAGTTCTATTTACGGTGCTTGCTGACTGGGGGTGAAATGAAAAGTCGGGTCTTAGCAAGATTGGAACCAGGCCCTCTACCAACCGAGGTATGAGGACCAGTTATCGATTAGGTCTATACTTCACCTCAATCGCTGAGGATTTTACCTCGCTGTCATGTGAGTCTGTGGTTCCTAGCTGTCCAGAATGATAAAGCATTTAAATGACTTACGAAGAATTATGCTAAAAAAGTGATATTAATTTTCACAAACTTAAGTTTTCTAACTAGGAATTTGGTACAGACATGCACGACAGTTACATTCTAGAATAACTGTGTCTATTCACAAGTGTATTGTTTCATTTAATATAATGTCTATAGCATAATGAAGGAATGCCAAAAATGAAAAAGCCTATGTCTTAAACTGCATTGACTATCATGAAGTTTCATGCAAAAGATAATGAAGTCAGAAGGGATATTTTCAAAAGGATAAAAAATTACGAATATGTTCTACTAGTTGAGAAAAAGCAGAAGATGAAATAATGGTGTTTAGAGGCATCTTCTGCATAAAAGTTTTTATTTATCCAATTCCGAATGTCTAAGAAGCTACTTATTCAACTTCACGTTGCATTTTTTAGTTCACCCGCAAACTCAATAACAAAGATTTAGAAAATTCTACCGACTTCACCAGAAAACTCTCCAAACTGTGCAGTTACAAATGCCAAGTATTACTTGTCGTTTGTAAATCAATATAAAGCAACCACTTATCAAAGAAACCTAATAAAGATGTGGGCGATCAACATGATTTATTGTCCGACAAATGTATGGACCATTTCGCTTTCTCAAAATTTCTGTATGTATGTCTATTTCATATTGAAGAAAAGCAATACAAAACAATTGACAGTAGTCAGCATTCTTCCTAGGAATACAAAACATTGTATTTTATCAGAAGAGATACTTCTTATTATATGTACAGAAAATCTGTTTTTTTTTAAATTTGAATTTTGTAACAATCAATTTGACATAAATTTGATTAATCTCCACTAAAAAATAAAGTTTTACAGCTCCATCCTCAGCTTACACTGCTTTTCATTTACTGTATATGTTAGGTGTAGTTTGTTTTATAAACTAGCTCCATATACGAATACGGACAAAATCAGTCCACTTATAAGTTGATATAGTGGGGTTTTCTGTATGTCAAAATGAGAATCCTAAGAAAAAATAGCAAATTACAATGATCAGAATAGGCTTTATTCACGATATCGCCAACAGATCAAAAAGAGTTGAGATGACTGTTATAAGTTCGACCGAATCACAGTAATTCGCATCACGTGATGCTATAAAAAAAGCGCATTGATACACCAGCATAAAAAAACGCAGTGGGTAAAACCCGTAGCATTGTTTGTAAGGACAGAGCACAGAAACGCCAAAAGATACATATACCTCATGAGGATTTTCTATATCATTATTCATCATTCGAGAGTTCTACTGACACCGATAATTTATCAGTCCAGATGTTATCTGTTGACATGACTTATGCAGGATACCTGAAAGTACTATAGAAGCATCATAAATGCAATGAAGAAGAGTTGGAATCCTCAGTGCAAGCGAAGATTCATTAATTTCACTAAAGGACGAGATGAAATATCAGTACATTTCGAAGGATTTTTATATTTGAACGATAAAGTTACGTTCTCGACATTGAGATCCGCTGCACCAGGTGGTCTTCGGTCTGCCCACCTAAGAGCTGAGAAAAAAAAACTGTTGGCTCGCTTAACATGTTGCTGATATGAGAGGATCAAAGAGCTATTCTGATTGTCTGCATTAAATATCCCATGGGAAACAGTTATGGGATTCACGGCCTGTCTTTTGAAGCATGGCGATGCATTCATGCAGATTGCTGCGGTCTCTTTGTTATCCACCCCATGTAACTTCATTCAAATACCTTTGCAAACGCCCTGTATATCAGTATTACATTAATGCTGAGACTAACTTTGATTGTGTATATGGGATATCGAAAAACAATTATTTACATCTTTTCAAATCCTTTGAAATTTGTCTTTTGATTTGCCTTTGGTATCGCGTATTTTGTTGGCACCCATCGGTTAGGATAAGATCTATAACATTCTGGTCAAACAGAAGTAATGTCTACCGAAATTTTCTGTGTTCATGTCAGAACTTATTTGGAAATATTACTGTTGCGTATACAAGGGTCACAAAACCTTCTTAAACTCATACTCTGTTTCAATTATAGGGGACTCTTATTCTAAATGGTCGGAAGTAATACTTACAAACAGCTAGTGTGAAACTTAAATTCAGAGATGGAGATATTTATGGCCGTCATTTGTATACAGCCCCGCGTCATCCTCAGTCAAATGGGTTAGTAGAAACTTCGTGCGAAAATTAAAGAGTGCCATAGCACCAAAGAATCCAAGCAGTTTAGAAGAGCTGGGAAAATGTGTTGATAATTTCCCAATTAAGTATCCGAATATGGAACACACGACTATGCATGAAAGTTCAGCTAAACTCTTCAAATTCGGAATTCTTCTGACAAATTTGATGGCTATAACTTCGCCAGATGTACCCTATCATCAAGGAAATGATTATCAGCCATCAGTGGAAATTACACTACACAAAATTTGAAATCAAATGGTAAAAATTGTCGACCTAGAAAATCATCCTCATAACAATTACATAGAACAACTGAAAATAAATCAAATAGGCCGTCCCAATGGTAATCTTGTAACACCACACACTCAAAAATCAATAGCCTAAGGTTCGGCGAGATTCAACATTGATGTTGACCTTCATAGTTGGATTGGACTCGCTAAGCTGAAGGCACCCGGTCAAGCATCCACACCATTTGGCACGATGTCGTGTTACATTGCAATGCTCGTAATCGACCCTCTATCCAGTTAGTTGGAACGCATCGGTGTCTTGGCACGACCTCGCAAATATACTATTCCATCCGACTACGTTATTGTGTTCTTCCTTGGTCTCGTATTCATGGATGTATAATAAGTACGAATAGTTAGTGATTGGCCTCTGCATCTGTCAAGTTTGCACCAGGAAGATTCTTAAAATCTAATGATTCCCTTACTGGTAGCAATTTCATCGATAATTTTTAGATCTAAACAAATACTGCCAGAGGAAATGCTAATACAGAACCAATAAGAAGATCCGAGAAAGATCCAAGTTAACTCAGTGTTCATTATGAACATGCAGAAAGACAGTCAATGTGTGATGGACAACTATTTTCAATTTCTGCATTATATAAATGTTCATTGTTAATTATCTTTTTTTACCGCATTCATAACATACAAAAATTCCGCTGATCCCTAATTCCTGGTTTGTCTATTCTGTGGGATATTTCAGTTCCTGATAATCCCGTTACTGCTAACTACGGTGCATTTATTTATTGCAGGTACCTACCGTCGATAAAGTCATATGACAAAACATTTACCATAAATAAATTCAATGAGGCCCACAACACTTCAGTATGTAAACCATTTGACGAAACCCCCAAGCTAAGCGAACATAATCCCTGATTTTGCCTACAGTCATTGCAACTCAGCTTTATTCCCAGTGCCTAATAGTTCCCCTTCCCTCCAGCAACTTAACTCCACCACTAAGTTTGATGCCCTTAAGTATCGAGATATCTTTTGGAGTCAGCTGACACTATTAAGAAATACGACAACTTCCTACATCTTCCTCCCTGATTTAAAAACTCAAAAATCTTATGACTTCATGAACAACAATTAGGAAAACTATTTGTCAGTTCAACGTAAAGCTTATTTACCCGCATTTCGTGACTACAGCAGATCTTCAAAACGCAGGTCCACGGAACGACTCATCTTTTAAAAGGCTTATCTGTTTTAATCTCTCCCCTGACACTGTCAGGGAATGCTCAGTAAAGTCCTAAAGCATTCTGTCAACTGAGGTACAACAGATAACCCTTATTAGAAAGTTTAATATTACCCACAATTTTTCGCCTAAACGAGCCTGTTCCTCCAACACCATCTTCACACACACTGTTCATGCTGCCATCCCTCAACTATTGAGCAGTAACAAATGAGAGTACTACAAAAAGCCCCCATGACTTACTTTGATCTTTGCATCCATCCACTACTAAAGTACCATGTGAAAAATCCAAGCAATCCTTTTCCATCTTCATATTTCCTTGGCTCCTTTTCTTCCTCCTTCAACTTCTCAGTATAGTTTCCGTTGTTAATCAAACCTATACTGTAGAGATAATCCCTGAATCCTGTCACTCGATCAGCCACGCCACAGCATACCTTATCATGTACCCCCTTATTTTAATGCTGTTCCATTTACCTTCCACCCTTAGGATACCTCCAGCCTGTGTTCTTAAGAACTCCTCGCTCTGTGTCTAAGCAGCATACATCATGCAGTGCACTCGATGCGTCTACCGGAAATGTGAACATCCCGCTCACAATGTTTCAAACTGATTCCCGACAGAGCCAGATTATGTCAATCTTATCCAAATCAATGCTGGCTACACGTAAAATAAACCAGTTTCCCTCTAAACGCTCTATCGCATCTGTCGGTCTGGTGTCCTTACCTATGGACTCCAATTCTTAATTTCAGACAGACGGCTATCTGCTTTTTCTGAAAAGTACACAAAGTAAGCGTAATCGTGGTTACCTCATTTATATACAGTCGGAATTTGCATTCTTCCTAACTGGCCCACCTTCGTCAAACGCTCTGAAGAATTCATTGAAGGTACCATTCTCTATACTCTATAAACCTTTCTTCATAAATATTATATCACCCACCTTCAGTGCCCAAAATGTCGTCGGACACTCCGACTGATCGTCACACACGGAGGATGTATCAAATGCCGTCAGTAAGTGCGAAATAGTGATCGGAAAATTATGGTAATAATCACAGTGAAAATAAAAACAAAACTGCTCATTGAAGTGGAATGAGAATGACTAGAGAGTAGGATATTGGAGCCAATGTAAAGGAAAGGACTGTGCATAAGACGCTATCTATGGGTGCCTAACATGACCCTTTTTCCGCCCTAGTAAATCTCAAGTCCTTGCGAGAAGTTACTGGGAAGGGCAGCAGCTTCAAACTCGTAAGCCAAATGTGCAGACAGGCAGATCAACGCAAAAGCTGTGTAACGACCAGTTGTTGATACGTTTACGCATAGCCTGTAGATAGGTACGTTGTTGCAGGTGGTGCGCAGAGCAGTATGGGTTTGGTAGTGGCCACAAGAATCTGGAAAAGAAAGAGGAAGAGAAGAAAGGTGAGCCAACGACTCAGCAAGTACACGGGACGTACTTACATTTAGCAATAAAAGATAACTGACAAACGGTGGAGCCGGACAATGAAGAGGTGAGGCAGTCTAGAAATCGAAACTCTGAGGTGAATGAGTAGGATTTCTAATGCGCTAAGCTGCCACATAAAGGAATCTGTCCAACTTCCCACACTTCACAAAAAGACAAAAGTGTATGGGGAAGGCGATATAAATGTTGAAACATATCTGTGAGGGGAAACGGAATGGAGAGATGAATGTCAGCAAAGTGTCCAGGACGTTGAAGCCAAAGCGTGCACGCCTGTGGCATTTTGACTGATTTCCGGTCAAATCACTAGGGGTGTTCAACCATCAAATCCCATAGTTTCGATGACCCC